TAAACATTCGTGGAAACACGTGTTGGGTGTAGTGGACTATTGGGAACATAGACATTCGTGGAAACACGTGTTGGGTGTAGTGGACTATTGGGAACATAGACATTCGTGGAAGCACGTGTTGGGTGTAGTGGACTATTGGGAACATGGACATTCGTGGAAACACATGTTGGGTGTAGTGGACTATTGGTAACATAAACATTCCTTGGGAATGCGTGTTGGGTGTAATGGACTATTGGGAACATAACATCCCTTGAGATTACGTGTTGGTTGTGGTGCCGGTGGGTGTAGTGGACTGTTTGGATCGTACACATTCCTGGGGAACACGTGTTGGTTGTAGTGGACTATTGGGATCGTAGACATTCCTGGAGAACACGTGTTGGTTGTAGTGGACTATTGGGATCAAAGACATTCCTGGAGAACACATGTTGGTAGTAGTGGACTATTGGGAACATAGACATTCCTTGGGAACACGTGTTGGGTGTAGTGGACTATTGGGAACATAGACATTCCTTGGGAACACGTGTTGGGTGTAGTGGACTATTGGGAACATGGACATTCCTTGGGAACACGTGTTGGGTGTAGTGGACTATTGGGAACATAGACATTCCTTGGGAACACGTGTTGGGTGTAGTGGACTATTGGGAACATAGACATTCCTTGGGAACCCGTGTTGGGTGTAATGGACTATTGGGAACATAACATCGCTGGAGAATACGTGTTGGTTGTGGTGCTGGTTGGTGTAGTGGACTATTAGGATCGTAGACATTCCTGGAGAACACGTGTTGGTTGTAGTGGACTATTGGGATCATAGACATCCCTGGAAATAACGTGTTGGTTGTAGTGGACTATTGGGATCGTAGACATTCCTGGTAATAACGTGTTGGTTGTAGTGGACTATTGGGATCATAGACATTCCTGGAAAACACGTGTTGGTAGTAGTGGGACTATTGGGAACATAGACATTCCTGGAGAACACGTGTTGGATGTAGTGGACTATTGGAAACATAGACATCCTTGTGGAACACGTGTTGGGTGTAATGGACTATTGGGATCAAAGACATTCCTGGAGAACACGTGTTGGTAGTAGTGGACTATTGGGATCGTAGACATTCCTGGAGAACACAAGTTGGTTGTAGTGGACTATTGGGATCATAAACATTCCTGGAGAACACGTGTTGGTAGTAGTTGACTATTGGGATCGTAGACATTCCTGGAGAACACGTGTTGGTTATAGTGGACTATTGGGATCAAAGACATTCCTGGAGAACACGTGTTTGGTGTAGTGGACTATTGGGAACATAGACATTCGTCGAAAACAGGTGGTGGGTGTAGTGGACTATTGGGATCATAGACATCCCTGGGGAACACGTGTTGGGTGTAGTGGACTATTGGGAACATAGACATTCGTGGAAACAGGTGTTTGGTGTAGTGGACTATTGGGAACACAGAGATTCCTGGGGAACACGTGTTGGGTGCAGCACACTATTGGGAAAATAGACATCCCTTGGGAACACGTGTTGGGTGTAGTGGACTATTGGGAACATAGACATCCCTGGGGAACACGTGTTGGGTGTAGTGGACTATTGGGAACATAGACATTCGTAGAAACACGTGTTGGGTGTAGTGGACTATTGGGAACATAGACATTCCTGGGGAACACGTGTTGGGTGTAGTGAACTATTGGGAACATAGACATTCCTGGGGAACACGTGTTGGGTGTAGTGGACTATTGGGAACATAGACATTCGTAGAAACACGTGTTGGGTGTAGTGGACTATTGGGAACATAGACATTCCTGGGAACACGTGTTGGGTGTAGTGAACTATTGGGAACATAGACATCCCTGGAAACACGTGTTGGGTGTAGTGGACTATTGGGAATATCGACATTCCTGGAGAGCACGTGTTGGGTGTAGTGGACTATTGGGAACATAGACATCCCTCGGGAACACGTGTTGGGTGTAGTGGACTATTGGCAACATAGACATCCTTGGAAAAATGGCGGTAGGTGTAGGAGACGAACTTCATGCAACAATGCTGGAGCGTCTTGATCCATCAGTTGGAGGAAGCTGCCTCTCTGTGGTGGGATAAGACCGTCGCGGTAGAAATCACGTCATCATCATTTGTACATGCGAAAGATGTTTATGTGTATTGTTTGATTAAGAATTTCCTTTAACATAATACAACTAGTTCTGTATGTAATACACCTGTAAAGATAGAATTTTGAAAATGTAAAAGTTAACAATTACGGTATGAAATACATTAGCTGGAATAATATAAAGTCAGTCATAGTCTATTATTGTACACAATTCAGCTGCTGTCGCAAGTTTGACTCGTACCGTAGTTATCCAAATAACAATATCATTGTAGAATATTCACAATCCAGTATATTCCTCAGCAGTGCTGTATCATTTTTATAATCTAAAACTGACTCCCACAGTAGATATCGCTTGCGTGAGATCAAGCCATACACTCTAGCACGACATTGTGTGATACTCGATTCTGATTGGCTGAGAGCTCATAAAAAACGTACTTAAATGGCAGTTTAAGGACAACTAATTGACCGCGTATGAATACAATGAACTCGTTGACCCTTTTGTTTGTATACAAACATGTCGGACATCGGTGATTTCTACCTCGGCAACATCATTTGATGTTTTTCAAGTAAAAAGCTAAAAGTTTGAAGTAGAGTTGCTTGGGCCTAAACCCACTGAAGAAACTTCGAAGCAGGACATTTCGTCAGTAGCGCAAAAGCGGCAGTATTCCGCCATACTTCCAACCGGGCCTAGATCTAGCGGCCCACACGTCCTAACCTGTTCGCTTCCGTCCAGGCCGTAATGCCCATGCAGTCCTTCCATTTCCACTGTCTATGTTTCCCGGGGCGGTGGGGTAGCCTAATGGTTAAAGCGTTGGCTCGTCACGCCGAAGACCCGGGTTCGAATCCCCACATGGGTACAATGTGTGAAGCCCATTTCTGGTGTCCCCCGCCGTGATGTTGCTGGAATATTGCTAAAAGCGGCGTAAAAACCAAACTCAGTCAGTCAGTCAGTCTATGTTTCCCACATCAAAGCTGGCATGTCAGGTCTTTTCCAAATTCGGAATATTATCGTGGTTATCAACAATTACTTCCGTGAATAATGTTTGCGGCGACTAAACTTAGCGATTGTCATACAGTAGGGGAGATTAATTTTTCGCTTGAGAAAAATCAAATAATTGGACTTGCTCACAGTATAAACTGTATTTTTTAATCTATTTATGCTACTTGTTACAAATAAAAGCATATTGGTTCCTGAAATAAGCATTTATCTTGTCTTATTTGGTTCATCACACAACCTGACCCTCAACTGAACGGTCACCAAGCGATTTCCAGGAAAAGGCCCCTTCATTCTTTGTGTTCTTGCGTGTCAGTCGTGCTAGAATGAAGATAAAGCTACTCTGTTTTCAATGTTGCTGTCCTTTATATAGTTGCGGTCCTTTATAGTTATAGCGGTCTTAAATCAACAGAGTAGCTTTACCTTCTAACTATAGACATCGCAACAATTGAATTGTCATAATGCTATTACACCGTCAGTTAATGACCTCACAATGCTTTGACATCACTAAGAACACAGTTGACAATGCTATGACGTCACAAAGTTGATGGCGTCACAATGCTATGACCTCACTCGGATCACTGCTCAAGAAACTTAATCTTGGGCAGTTATCTGTTCAGATAAATTCATTCTTTTACTGATAACTGATATTGCTGAGTGCGGCGTTAAACAACAGCCAACCAACCAACCCTAGTCAGCCATATGCCACCGCGGTTGCCTTTAAATACTATTAAGTCAGTGGGGATCCGACAAACGATTGACGGAAAGAATGACACGTCACATGTCATCGACGTACAAGCAATTACTTAGATCTACACTCAGGCGCACGTAGTTCATGGCTTTCATTGTGTTCGGATGACAGAGAAACCAATAAGGCAAGTTTTAATGAATATGCGGAGACATATCGCCTAATGTTATGCTACTGCTCGTTCCTGGGCGGGTCTTACCAACACTAACCCACGTCAGGGGAGGCGTGCAAGCTATAATCGGGTGTGAATGGACTTTCAAAAGAGATCGGGCATTATATTCTATATATGAAGTATTCGGCACACACACTATCAAACACAATCACACCCAATACCATTACTTTGTCAATCTAGCCTGACTCCCGCCTGGAGGCTCGTGTCTGGAGGGGTGTAACGTCGCGTCCCACTGCACATACACGTGTTTGTGACTGAATATTCATATTAGTACATATCTATATGTTGGTTTTACACTGTTGTCCGAGGCCACACTATGACTTAGATAACATACTCGGGCAGTTGAAGGACCCCAAGCCAACCGGGCCTTGGTTTATCCGCTAGAACCACTGACTCCCTGCTCTGGGGTAAAGGCCCTATCCACCATACCTTGGGGCGGTCTCTCTCTCCAGTGAGACACAACTGGGGGAATATTTGCCATTTTAAAAATAAACTTGTCTATCCTTAGCACAGACACAGACACCCAACCATCACGGCTCCTAATTCCAATACATTTCAGTGGACATGAAGACATATGTCACAAACTGTGACATCACAGGTTTGGGAGTACACGGTATTACCCAAACACATTATTGTCAAAGGAAAACACCACGAATATACAGTGATTCCACCCACAGACTGGCTGATAGATGAACCTACGTTGCACCAAATAATCATGATGCTTTCTGTGACGTGTTTAGACAAAGCTGACTTTAAGTTAACCTCCGGATTTTCCTTTGGCAATTAGACCGGTGTCTGTGCCCAGGCGTCATCGATGGGAACTATTTGTTGCCCCCTCAGGCGATTCGTAAATAATCTTGGGAATCTATCAAGTGTGATTAACTTGAGCATATCTGACACCTACTGTACCTATACCGTTATCATATGATTTCACAGGGAACTATTACTACAGTCAGTGGTGACCGCCCCATGTGGAGCCTCAAGGCAGAAGCTCACAACTCGTCCCGATCCGGTGTCCCACTTCTGACAAGTCGGGGTTGTGGCCAGGTGCTCGTCATGTCCGTGGAAGGTACCTTAGATAACATATATTGTAACAGGTACTTGCATATCCTCTCCCCGACTAACCTGCGCCACCTAGCCCGGGAGTGGCTGAAGGAAGACACCCCAAGTTTTGACTATGCAGGATTTGTGGTTGGGGAGAAGGAGGAACGTGCGGTGCTGCTCCTGAAAAGCCCTGCAGTCGTCGCGGGTAAACCGTTTGTGGACGCCGTGTTTCGGGAACTAGACTGTACAGTTGAATGGCTAGTTGAGGAAGGACAGTTCCTGGAGCCTATCCACACCGTGGCGAACGTTACTGGCAAAGTCCGACATCTACTACTTGGAGAGAGAGTGGCCCTCAACTGCCTCTCAAGGGCCAGTGGTATAGCTACTAACGCTAGAAAGTTGAAACAGCTGACTGAGTCTGTAGCTTGGAGAGGAGAGTTAGCGGGAACAAGGAAGACAACTCCTGGCTTTCGTATGGTGGAGAAATATGCTCTGCTCATCGGCGGTGTAGCAACACACAGATACGATTTGTCGTCGATGGTGATGCTGAAAGACAACCACATATGGACAGCAGGCAGTATAGAACAGGTAATCTTATCTAAGCTGCCCCCACGTAAGGGATGGTTCATAATTTAAGGCAAGGGCGTGTGTGTGCGTGCGTGCGTGCGTGCGTGCGTGCTTGTGTACGTGATGCTTATAAGGGGTCACCTATTTTGTTCTGGGGAGGTCGTAGGGTGGGGAGGTTGGGGGGTCATCCATTTTGTAAACTTCTACTAGGGTGGGATCAGCAAATTTGTACATATCAATATTTAAAAATTATGCTTAAACATTATGGAAAATTGAGGTGTCATTGACTTTGTACATGGCAGGGGGTCACTTACTTTGTACATGAATTTTAGGAGGGGGTGGGGGGTGTCATTTACATTTTACATTGCCGGTGCAGTTCTTCGACACGGGACATGGCATTGTCAGATGAATTATGATTGGTCTCCACGGCCAATGGTCATTGTCAGTCTCCCAGGTCTTGGAGGATCCTATACTTCATCGGTGGCCACGTGCTTCATCTCAAGTCGACAATAACGGTGTGGTTGAACTTCAAGTTAGCACCTGTTGCGACGGGACATCCTTACGTTATTGTTTGCCAGTAACTTGCTGTCGTGTATTTTCTGAAAGTCTCTTGCCATGTAAAGAAAAGTTGTTTTTAGCACTGTCGTCTTTTATATCAGTTCAGAAAGCTAGTGGACAAGCAGCAGTTATGAAATGGACACCTCATCATGATAAAATAGCCTTGCTTTTGAGATATTGTGTGAAGCAGGTTCTTTACGCATGAATTCCAGCATACTAAGGTATGATCGTCTGTTTGGACCAAAATACATAAAACTGCCCTTGGGTTGAGATGATGCTTGAATAAAGTTCATGTGTATACATATATGTATGTATATGTATGTATATATTGGTGTTGCAGGCAGTGAAAGACGTGCGTGTGGTAAGTGGTTTCTCCTCCAAGATAGAAGTCGAGTGTCGGAGTCTGGAGGAAGCAAGAGAAGCTGCACGTGCAGGGTCTCAAGTGGTCATGTTGGATAACTTCTCGCCAGAGGTGAGCGTCTGTGTTACCGTTATATACAATAACAACACGTCATTTAGGATCACAGTTTATATGGGATTATTAATAAATGTGTTTTGAACGTTTTCGCAATAGAATTAATAGTCCCTCATATATTTTACAGATATGACAAGTCGTTCAAAATCCTCTCCTGTTAACATGCCGAACGTTTGTTGACAGTTTCTCGGACTGACTTAAGACAAGTAAAATAGTAATATACTGATGTATTGGAACTTAGAGGCGATCGGAGTCTTAAAATACTATATGACAGAGGTTACTAATAAAACGACAGAGAAGTCTTAGTTTCAAAACAGATTTATCGGAATACCTCTGCCTTTATCAGAATAACTCTACCTTTATCGAAATACCTCTGCCTTTATCAGAATACCTCTACCTTTATCGGAATACCTCTACCTATATCAGAATAACTCTACCTTTATCGGAATACCTCTTTCTTTATCGGAATACCTCTACCTTTATCGGAATACCTCTACCTATATCAGAATACCTCTACCTTTATCGGAATACGTCTCCCTTATTGGAATACCTCTACCTCAGGATCTATCGATCCTGGGGAAACAACATAATTCAGTGCAAGGATGCACCTTGAGGAAAATATGTATGATCAAATTATTGTGTTCACACGACACACTTCCACCAACATCTTTCTTCCAACGTTGGGTTCGATAATGCGCAATGGTAAAGTGAGTGCGAAAGGAGCAGTGCACCTGTCTGTGTTAGAGACTGTATTACAGCTCCTGTATTTCTGAAAGCCCGTTAAATACGTTTTTAATACACTCTATGACAATAGCGTGATGTGTTGCAGGCTCTGTCCCAGACTGCTGTGGTCCTGAAGAAGGAATTCCCCGAGTTGATTATTGAAGCCAGCGGAGGCATAACCCAGACAAGTGTATGTAGCTACTGTGACGATAACGTGGACGTCATCTCAATCAGCGGATTGGTCCAAGGCTACACCACCGCCGACTTCTCAATGAAAATTTTTAAGGACGGAAAGGATCCGAGGAATCCTATAGTTGAGCAAGTTTTGAATGCTAAATCGGCAGACGTCAATGAGACATAACGGATTAACTGAAATATGTAAAGTGTAGCAAATCAGTTAAACCTATATATGTATTTTGTAACCTTACTGTCGTTCTGATCGGGCATTAAAACAGGAAAGTATACCATGGCAGCATTCCTAATTAAATATAAATCCAATGAACTCAAACATTGTAAGCAGAAAGTCACCCTCCATACAACTAAAAGGGACTTTATACTGACTGGTGAGATTACCGTTGCATTACTGTTCGTAAAGTATGTGCAACCTTTTCATCTACTTTGCCTTACCCTGCAGACAGCTCGAAGTTCTGTAAGTGGTTATAACCTTATATATAATAATACCTGTGTCTATGCTGCTGGGAAGATAAAAGATCTCAGGAACCATAGTACATAATGTTGTCATTGTTTGTTATTATAGCATTGCCCTGAATGTTTATGGATAATAAATTTATGTCTCTCTGCCCTCACTGCAGGGGCAGGGACAGGAGCTAGGGCTGGGGCAGGGGCAGGCAGTGCTCGTGTTGTATGTGTCCAGACCTCACAGGCGTCACCTCGTCAGTTTGTCTCTTGGACAAATGTTGCTACTGGACACACAGAAACATGTCTATATGAATTCCCCATACCTACAAGAGAATCCATTTAACACGGACCGCCACACTGTTTGTCACATTTCTAAACTCAAAGTAATGCATTATCAAATAATGGTACTGGTCATTACAGTAATAAGGTCGCTAATGAATCTAGAGTACATTTCTTCACGTTATGTGAAGGTATCTCTGAATTACGTACATCAGCCCCCCTGTCATTGCTTGGGTTACGCCCTAGACTGTAGCAGGCTGTGCATGGCCAGAGGCACACTCCGCATATAAAGTGATAACGTCGAAAGGTAGTAACATTACTGGTATACAGTGTACTCAGTTACTGAAGACTAACTGCAGCTGATACCCTGGTATATGTATGTATGTAACTATTAGTGAATTACCTTGTACCTTGTTGTTCGTGTGCACCTTGCACATATACAAAATGTTTGAGCTGCACCTTTTTGTCAGTTCTGAGCGATGCCCGAATAGTCGGCTACAGCTATGTAATACCACTCATGTTCAGTCCTTGTGACGCGACCACGCCCACATGAACGAAACACCCCTAACCTAAATATAAATCATATGGGAAACCACACATTTGACCTATAATCAATTCGTTTGAGAAGTGGACGTAAAACTGAAGAATCCGGCGTCATAGTGTAAATTAAGTGTTGTACAAAACATACGATTGTGCTGACTGTATTGCAGCAACTGATTCATGGTACAACTCTTATAAAGAACGAACACGGTGAAAAGGACTTTTGCAAGTTCAAGCCTACTGTACTATACATTTCCTGTATACATAGGAGAGAGGTAGGTGGCATCCATTGAATGAGGTCTGAAATCAGGCTACAAACCTTCACAGACGATCACTTAGAAAATATATCAGATTAATAAACTAAACTGTTCTATGTGAAATCAAACAGGTTCGCCAGAAACGCGAAGTCCATTACGGGCATCGAGAGCAGCCTTGCAGCGTCTACCCATAGACGCCGTCAGATTGAGGTAGTGTCAATATAGAGTTCTTACACTCTAGGGAACACCATATGTGGTGTTGGCTGCCTCTGATGGACACGTAGATCATAGACGTCCCGACCATGTTCGATACTGACAAATTCCTTCACGTTCAGATATCATGCTAGCACTATGTTTCTAAAATTTCGGTCATTTGCCTGCAATGTGCACAATATCTGTGCTGCCTACACCTTCATGCCCTACAACCAATTTGGCCCACCAGATTGTACAGAATTAGAGGCGTAATGTATACGTTAGCTCTGCTCTGCTATTTGGAACATCATTGGCCAAACAGGGTGCCGATTACACAAAAGAAGCCATTCATCCATCTGGAATCCAGATCCATGTGTCACATGATAACTCTCTCACACCCTCCATCTGAGATCCAGTTCCACAATGTGATCTCACCCACTTACACCCTCCATCTGAGATCCGGTTCCACAATGTGATATCACCTACTTACACCCTCCATCTGAGATCCTGTTCCACAATGTGATATCACCTACTTACACCCTCCATCTGAGATCCGGTTCCACAATGTGATATCATCTACTTACACCCTCCATCTGAGATCCGGTTCCACAATGTGATATCACCTACTTACACCCTCCATCTGAGATCCGGTTCCACAATGTGATCTCACCCACTGACACCCTCCATCTGAGATCCTGTTCCACAATGTGATGTCACCTACTTACACCCTCCATCTGAGATCCGGTTCCACAATGTGATATCACCCGCTTACACCCTCCATCTGAGATCCGGTTCCACAATGTGACGTCACCTACTTACACCCTCCACCTGAGATCCGGTTCCACAATGTGATATCACCTACTTACACCCTCCATCTGAGATCCGGTTCCACAATGTGACGTCACCTACTTACACCCTCCATCTGAGATCCGGTTCCACAATGTGATATCACCCACTTACACCCTCTATCTGAGATCCGGTTCCACAATGTGACGTCACCTACTTACACCCTCCATCTGAGATCCGGTTCCACAATGTGATATCACCCGCTTACACCCTCCATCTGAGATCCGGTTCCACAATGTGATATCACCCACTTACACCCTCCATCTGAGATCCTGTTCCACAATGTGATGTCACCTACTTACACCCTCCATCTGAGATCCGGTTCCACAATGTGATATCACCCGCTTACACCCCCATCTGAGATCCGGTTCCACAATGTGATATCACCTACTTACACCCTCCATCTGAGATCCGGTTCCACAATGTGATATCACCCGCTTACACCCCCATCTGAGATCCGGTTCCACAATGTGATATCACCTACTTACACCCTCCATCTGAGATCCGGTTCCACAATGTGATATCCCCCGCTTACACCCCCCATCTGAGATCCGGTTCCACAATGTGATATCACCTACTTACACCCTCCATCTGAGATCCGGTTCCACAATGTGACGTCACCCGCTTACACCCTCCATCTGAGATCCGGTTCCACAATGTGATCTCACCTACTTACACCCTCCATCTGAGATCCGGTTCCACAATGTGATCTCACCCGCTTACACCCTCCATCTGAGATCCGGTTCCACAATGTGATGTCACCTACTTACACCCTCCATCTGAGATCCGGTTCCACAATGTGATATCGCCTACTTACACCCCCATCTGAGATCCGGTTCCACAATGTGATATCACCTACTTACTCCCTCCATCTGAGATCCGGTTCCACAATGTGATATCACCCGCTTACACCCTCCATCTGAGATCCGGTTCCACAATGTGACGTCACCTACTTACACCCTCCATCTGAGATCCGGTTCCACAATGTGATATCACCTACTTACACCCTCCATCTGAGATCCGGTTCCACAATGTGATATCACCTACTTACACCCTCCATCTGAGATCCGGTTCCACAATGTGATGTCACCTACTTACACCCTCCATCTGAGATCCGGTTCCACAATGTGATGTCACCTACTTACACCCTCCATCTGAGATCCGGTTCCACAATGTGATGTCACCTACTTACACCCTCCATCTGAGATCCGGTTCCACAATGTGATGTCACCTACTTACACCCTCCATCTGAGATCCGGTTCCACAATGTGATGTCACCTACTTACACCCTCCATCTGAGATCCGGTTCCACAATGTGATGTCACCTACTTACACCCTCCATCTGAGATCCGGTTCCACAATGTGATGTCACCTACTTACACCCTCCATCTGAGATCCGGTTCCACAATGTGATGTCACCTACTTACACCCTCCATCTGAGATCCGGTTCCACAATGTGATGTCACCCACTTACACCCTCCATCCTAGACGAGTGTGAACATTCCTTAATTCTACATTTTTTATAGGTTATAGCAAACATTCTGCCCAACCACTTAGCCTGACCCTTTACAAAATCAAAACAATTGGCGTCAGATTCCAACCAGCAAAGAGCTGATACAAGGGAAAGTATCTCCTAGCACTTGGGACTTATTCATACATACACATGGAAACAGTATATCTCGACACCTGTGACTAGTGAGAGAGATGTTTACTTCTGTAAGGGGGCCACCGGCCCATTATACAAGTACATACAGACTTACTATACTGACGTGGAGCGCCAAGGTTGTTTAGAAATCGAACACGCTTTTTCATACCAAGAAATACAAATCGTGCAAGGCTGTTAATGGAATCGACGTTTGTAGATGATAATAAGTGAATAAACTTATCAAATGATGGATAGGTAGTGTAATATACTGGTAAAATGGAGTTTCTCGGGATATCATAAAATGGACAAACCACACAAAAGTGGTATTCGGATTCTACATAAGGAATGATACATAATGGACATAATCGTTCGTGACGAGGAGTGTTAAACTTTCGTCCTTCTTCAGGTAGTCAACTGTGGTTAGAACAGCGAAATCTACATAGTTCTATATACGATATGCGGGCACCTTAATAACGGACAAATGATCTTCAAATTTAAAACATAATTTGATGCTGGAATAGGATACAGTCCAACCTGTTCCATCCATGTTTGTCGATCAATGGCTATGCATCTTTCTTTGAACAAACATATAAATTCCTGGCTGCATGTAACATTCTGATTGGTCCACACGTAACCAAAACCATACCTGAATAAAAGTCTCTTAACTTGGAGTGCCCAACAGTTACGTCCTCTAGTGAATATTGATAGTCATACGCTTCTTTAACACTACGTTATCCAACTGGTTCAACGCACGAACCCAAAACTTGATAATCTTAACAAACTGGTTAACATTTAATGAGTGACGACCTAACTCCTCTCTTGCGACAAGATTCGGATCTTCCAAGATTTAAGACTTCTTTACAAACATTTTCATGAACACGTGACATGCATGGTGAAGGATGAAAGCCCCAGATCTCCGCACCGTAGAATAGGATTGGCAATATCTTAACATCGAAAATGTGAAAGAGAACATTGTATGGCAGATTAGCAAAGTTATGAAAACTAGACCTAACGATAAAGGACTTTAAGCAGTGTATGAAATAAGGCTCGTCCGACTGCCCGAAACGGTCTTGATTTGTGACGGACGGTCTAACTTTACATCTAGCCAGCCCGATGGTCTGGTAAAATTTTTTAGATGTTCCATACATCTGAGTAAAGTCACCACATTTGGTCTGGTTAAATCCATTTTGGGCTCGTAACATTTTGAAGTTACCAGACCTGATGTCTGGCTGGATTTGGCTTATTTCATACACTGCTTTAAGGGCTTGATGAGACAGTGTCTGCTGAGCGACCGACCAGGAGCCTGTGCTAGAGAAATGAACACCGAGATACTTACAGGTGGAGACATTATCCAACTTGGAGAAGTTAAAATATAACTTCTCATACTTTCTCAACCTTCCTGCTTTCCTGCAAACCATGATTTTAGTCTTGTCGACATTAACTTTCAATTGCCATTTATTACAATATTCACCTAGTTTATCTAACCTCCTCTGTAACCCAATGACCGAGCTTTCTGTTATCACCATGTCGTCTGCAAATAATAACATAAATGTCTGCAAAATACCTATTTCAATAGATCTATAGCTACTATTTCCAAGGAAATCAATAATGTCATTTGAATAGAATGAAAATAATAATGGTGACATCTGACACCCTTGCTTAACACCCAAGAGACAATCAAAGAAATCAGTGAGTACATCGTTCAAAGAGACGCAAGACCTAACAGTGCTGTACATGTTCTGTATCAACCTTAATGTCCTACCCTTGACGTTACTGGTCCACAGCTTGTACAACAGTCCACACCTCCAGACAGAGTCGAACGCTGCCTTTAGGTCAATGAAAGCGCAATACACCCGCCCTTTATATAGAGATACATATTTGTTTACGATTGTATCCAATACAAATATGTTGTCACATGTTTGGAAACCTTTCCGAAACCAAGCCTGCTCTGGAACAATTAGCAGTGTGTTCTCTTCAGCCCACGCTGACAGTCTGTTACAAATAACTTTAGAGAATATCAGGGTAAACACCTGTTGACAAAGTGGCATTAAACAAAAGTCTCAGGTACTCAATACATCGTCTAGGTGCATATTTGAGGAACTCCACTGGTACCCCATTGAAACCAGGGCTTTCCCGCATTGCATAGCTCATCTTCGAATGGTATATCTTTGTCTAGGTTGTCTATATCAGAGGTAATTTCAATCAAATTATCATGTAGTGAGTCAACAAAACTTTCGACAAAATTATAGTTCTTCTTAAAAAATATTAAGTCCATTATAAAGATCCTTGAAATGTGACATCCAATCACTCGGGGAGATATCATTGTGAACAAAAGGTTCTTACATGTGACCAACACAGTTTATGGTTTTTATTCATTAATGCATCCTGCAATGTAAGTGTCTGCGCTGTCCTAGCTGAGGACTGTTTACTTTGACACAGGTGTATATACTCCTTCCATGCCTCAGTGTAGCGCAGTCGGTGGTCGGCACGGCTTGTTGCATGGAAAGCACGAAGTTTCCGCCGGGCAGCTGCGCGTGCTGAGCTGCACTCCAAGTCGAACCAGTTCTGACTGGTATGACCACGTGACATTTGTTTACAAACAAACTGGGTCTTGAAGTCGCGTGCACACGACAACAATACATTGTAGAATGATTGGTAAGCTTCATTAATATGACCATTGTCAATGAGCGATCAAAGGGTATAAGGAAAGTCTGTGGTAACACTGATCCACTTGTTTGCGTACTCACTGGCACGCTCGCTGTTCCATGGGTACCTTACTCAAGGTTCAGACACCTATGACTCTTAGCCCCAAAATAGCCGTGTTTATTCATATCATAATTATGTTTGTATTTTGTATTTTCATCCTGTGGGCGCATCATTTATACATACGCGTGCTACGATACGTGAATCGGCCATTAAGCAAATACTCAGGTTTCAGTAAACTGTTCTTACAGTTCGATAAGTTGATAAGCAATTATGGGCCTCCTCAATTGATTACACTTTCTTAGTAAAGTACAAATTCTAGAACTTTTTGGGGTTGAGTCCCATCCGGGATTCGAACCCACACCCTTAGAGTCAGGCACCAAATCGCAAGCACACAAAGTCAGATGCCTAGCCCGCTCAGCCACTGCGACTTCCACGGCTGAGCGGGCTAGGCGGCTGAGGAGGGAGCGGTTTTTTTCTGAAAACCCCAGTGTCTCGCCAAAGCTTCATAAACGTATCCCTATAAATCTCTCCACGTTTGACAGGGGCAATTATTTGCCACAATGCATTCAAAACTAAGATATGATAAATTAAGTGATAGGTTCGATTCCAAATAACATTAGTGTGAGAAGTTTTATTTATTTTACGACATTTACAGTTTAAGCACAGGACTACATCTTGGTAGTTTAGAAATATATGTTCATCGTAAACACATTTGGTTTCTGATGTTTGATCCTTCACATGTAACGTAGATGTGAGATAGATATGCCTCTCCAGATGCTGCTGACATAAGTTCACCATTTGTCCCCGAGTTAGGAAGACCTTACAGTAAAATCAGTTTTATGTTTGTTACCTTGTCATTCGGATGAGACGTGAAACCGAGCATCAATTTCGTCGAAAACACACCATGAGCTACAGAACCCCGTTCCATTTGTGTATCACATTACCCATTGATTACAGCTGGTTATCTTGTGTGTGTGTGTGTATCACATTACCCATTGATTACAGCTGGTTATCTTGTGTGTGTGTGTGTATCACATTACCAATTGATTACAGCTGGTTATCTTGTGTGTGTGTGTTTATCACATTACCCATTGATTACAGCTGGTTATCTTGTGTGTGTGTGTATCACATTACCCATTGATTACAGCTGGTTATCTTGTGTGTGTGTGTATCACATTACCCATTGATTACAGCTGGTTATCTTGTGTGTGTGTGTATGTGTGTGTGTATCACATTACCCATTGATTACAGCTGGTTATTGATGTGTGTGTGTATCACATTACCCATTGATTACAGCTGGTTATCTTGTGTGTGTGTGTGTGTATCACATTACCCATTGATTACAGCTGGTTATCTTGTGTGTGTGTGTGTGTGTGTATCACATTACCCATTGATTACAGCTGGTTATCGTGTGTGTGTGTGTGTATCACATTACCCATTGATTAAAGCTGGTTATCTTGTGTGTGTGTGTATCACATTACCCATTGATTACAGCTGGTTATCTTTGTGTGTGTGTGTGTATCACATTACCCATTGATTACAGCTGGTTATCTTGTGTGTGTGTGTATCACATTACCCATTGATTACAGCTGGTTATCTTGTGTGTGTGTGTATGTGTGATCACATTACCCATTGATTACAGCTGGTTATCTTGTGTGTGTGTATCCACATACACATTACCCATTGATTACAGCTGGTTATCTTGTGTTGTGTGTGTGTGTTTCACATTACCCATTGATTACAGCTGGTTATCTTGTGTGTGTGTATCACATTACCCATTGATTACAGCTGGTTATCTTGTGTGTGTGTGTATCACATTACCCATTGATTGCTGGTTATCTTGTGTGTGTGTGTATCACATTACCCATTGATTACAGCTGGTTATCTTGTGTGTGTGTGTGTATCACATTACCCATTGATTACAGCTGGTTATCTTGTGTGTGTGTGTTGTATCACATTACCCATTGATTACAGCTGGTTATCTTGTGTGTGTGTGTATCACATTACCCATTGATTACAGCTGGTTATCTTGTGTGTGTGTGTGTATCACATTACCCATTGATTACAGCTGGTTATCTTGTGTGTGTGTGTGTGTATCACATTACCCATTGATTACAGCTGGTTATCTTGTGTGTGTGTGTGTGTGTATCACATTACCCATTGATTACAGCTGGTTATCTTGTGTGTGTGTGTGTTATCACATTACCCATTGATTACAGCTGGTTATCTGTGTGTGTGTGTTTATCACATTACCCATTGATTACAGCTGGTTATCTTGTGTGTGTGTGTATCACATTACCCATTGATTACAGCTGGTTATCTTGTGTGTGTGTGTGTGTATCACATTACCCATTGATTACAGCTGGTTATCGTGTGTGTGTGTGTGTATCACATTACCCATTGATTACAGCTGGTTATCTTGTGTGTGTGTGTGTATCACATTACCCATTGATTACAGCTGGTTATCTTGTGTGGTTATCTTGTGTGTATCACATTACCCATTGATTACAGCTGGTTATCTTGTGTGTGTGTGTGTATCATTACCCATTGATTACAGCTGGTTATCTTGTGTGTGTGTGTGTATCACATTACCCATTGATTACAGCTGGTTATCTTATCTTGTGTGTGTGTGTATCACATTACCCATTGATTACAGCTGATTACAGCTGGTTATCTGTGTGTGTGTGTGTATCACATTACCCATTGATTACAGCTGGTTATCTTTGTGTGTGTGTGTATCACATTACCCATTGATTACAGCTGGTTATCTTGTGTGTGTGTGTATCACATTACCCATTGATTACAGCTGGTTATCTTGTGTGTGTGTGTATCATCATTACCCATTGATTACAGCTGGTTATCTTGTGTGTGTGTGTGTGTATCACATTACCCATTGATTACAGCTGGTTATCTTGTGTGTGTGTGTATCACATTACCCATTGATTACAGCTGGTTATCTTGTGTGTGTGTGTGTATCACATTACCCATTGATTACAGCTGGTTATCTTGTGTGTGTGTGTATCACATTACCCATTGATTACAGCTGGTTATCTTGTGTGTGTGTGTGTGTTTCACATTACCCATTGATTACAGCTGGTTATCTTTGTGTGTGTGTATCACATTACCCATTGATTACAGCTGGTTATCTTGTGTGTGTGTGTGTGTATCACATTACCCATTGATTACAGCTGGTTATCTTGTGTGTGTGTGTGTGTGTGTGGTTGTGTCACATTACCCATTGATTACAGCTGGTTATCTTGTGTGTATGTGTATCACATTACCATTGATTACAGCTGGTTATCTTGTGTGTGTGTATATCACATTACCCATTGATTACAGCTGGTTATCTTGTGTGTGTGTGTATCACATTACCCATTGATTACAGCTGGTTATCTTGTGTGTATGTGTATCACATTACCCATTGATTACAGCTGGTTATCTTGTGTGTGTGTGTATCACATTACCCATTGATTACAGCTGGTTATCTTGTGTGTGTGTATCACATTACCCATTGATTACAGCTGGTTATCTTGTGTGTGTTGTGTATCATTACCAATTGATTACAGCTGGTTATCTTTGTGTGTGTGTGTGTGTATCACATTACCCATTGATTACAGCTGGTTATCTTGTGTGTGTGTGTGTATCACATTACCCATTGATTACAGCTGGTTATCTTGTGTGTGTGTGTGTGTGTGTGTGTATCACATTACCCATTGATTACAGCTGGTTATCTTGTGTGTGTGTGTGTATCACATTACCCATTGATTACAGCTGGTTATCGTGTGTGTGTGTGTGTATCACATTACCCATTGATTACAGCTGGTTATCTTGTGTGTGTGTGTGTATCACATTACCCATTGATTACAGCTGGTTATCTTGTGTGTGTGTATCACATTACCCATTGATTACAGCTGGTTATCTTGTGTGTGTGTGTATCACATTACCCATTGATTACAGCTGGTTATCGTGTGTGTGTGTGTGTATCACATTACCCATTGATTACAGCTGGTTATCTTGTGTGTGTGTTCCAAAATTTGATGCAACCAGTGACAAAAATGATGTCCGTGGTAGTTCCCTATATAGACTTGTATATAGACCATACTTTCCCTAATAATAATAATTCCGCTGAAGTAGTCCACTGGACAAAACATCCACAGTCTTGACCGCCTGACCAGAAGGATCATGTCTGATAACAGAGCCCACCACCCTCGTTCCTCTCTTAATCGTTTATATATGTATGCCAGTCAGGTCGGGAGGTCAGGGTTTGATTAATGTGGAGGCTCTTCATGATAGAATTTTTATGTGTACTTTTGCACATATTTATTTATCGTATGATCCTCTGGTGATGCATGTTAAGACTCATGATGAAAACAAGGAATTCCACAGCTATTTTATGCGTGCGAAGGAATCAGAAATCTGAAATCTGAGGTTGATTTTGTTGTCGGTAATGTACTGCTGGACGGTACAGCGATGGGAGTAAAACAGGTCAAGTTATTCACCAAGTCTGCTCAGTGTGTACATGCAGTGTGTGGAACAACAGTAATCCAACCGACTCCTTCGCCTGGATTAAGTCGGCTGGTCTTAAATGTGAAACTGAGGGCTTCCTTTTCGCTGCTCAGGACCAGTCACTTCCCACTCGCAATCGCCAAAATGTGATTCTTAAACAAAATATCAGTATGAAATGTCGACTTTGCAATGAATTTACAGAGACTGTCCAACACCTTGTCAGTGGATGCCCTTCCTTGGCACAAACAGCATATCTTAAAAGACATGAAGGCATGGCCCGTTGCTTTTACTATCGTCTTCGCCATGCCTGTGGCTTTAACTCCGAGGTCCATCCATGGTACGACCCTGAACATGTCCAGGGCGTCATAGAAAATGCTGCTTTGAAAATTCTTTGGAATAGGCCCATATACAGCCTCAGAAGAATTCCTGCCAACAAACCTGATCTTGTCCTGTTTGATAAAGCCAATGAATTTGTTTATGTTATTGAATTCTCTGTCCCTTTTGACAGCAACGCAATTGGCAAGATTCAGGAAAAGCATGATAAGTATGCAGACGTCGATTTTGAAATGTCTCGCTTGCATCCCAAGCACACTGTCGTCAGGCTCCCCATTGCTCTCGATGCCCGGGTTCTCCACCGGGAGGACAGCCCTTCTGACACGCTGGGTAATGCAGAAGGCTGAAGTGTTGGGGAGTCTACATATTCTCCGGAAGGTCGAAGCGTGTAGAGGGGGCCAGTGCCCTGAGCTGATGGTGAGCCTTACTAGCCTGACTGCGTCATGACTACCCGAACCCTCTCTGCTACATTTTTCATATCAATCTGTAAAACATAATAATAATAGCTTTGGATTTATATAGCGCTGGTATCCAGTGATCGCTGCTCAAAAGCGCTTCTGGGAGTTCTACATTGACTGGAGTCTATTCAAACACAACTGTGGTGAACACATATGTCTTGAGATGTTTCTGGAAAGTGGCAACATCTTTAATGGTTCTGATGTCTTAATGAAGACTGTTCCACAGCTTAGGTGCTATGCTTTGCGACATGCTGGCACACACAGCGAATGTTTTAGGTGAACAATCAATTGACTAGATTTGCGTTTGTAGGTAAGGATAGGGTCACCTTTTCGCGAACACCTGATATCATGCTCTGGCATCGTGTCTCATTATGTAAATGACATGGATTGTCTGGTAGATTTACATTTACAGGCCTCCGCCATACAGCTGTAATATTGCTGAGTGCGGCATGATATAGACTGAATTGTACAATCGACTATGCTTTTATCAGCTATTTTTTCATGGATGTGGAACCGGCTTTATCGCTATGATTTCCTGTGATTCATTTTCGTGGGCGGTTTGGTTTTCGTTCTTTACTTTCAAAAACTAAAGCAGTGGTATCTAACTAGACAAGGGTCTAACTAGATGCATGCACATCATGTTTTGACAAACGTATCGGAAAGAGTGCGAAGCATACATAGTACTATAAGTACTATAATTCTGACGTGAAAGGGATTCAAAGAACAACACACCAATACTACCTTATGTCGAACACTGTTCAAGCTCTGTCTGTGGCATACGTTGTAAATGGCAACATGCGATGGATATCAGTTTGACAGTAGCTATTGAACAGTACAGAAATCAGAGCATGATAAATTAGTGGGACGTATACGACATGTGAAGGCTTAGTGTAGTTGGTAATATAGCTTATTCACTCTTTTGAGAACTGTACCAAATGAGAAGGAATGCACGAACTTGTGGCCCTGGAGCTTGCAGTTATACACCTCCTGGGTCAGCAATCCGTGTGACTCTTCTTGGCCTTGCCTGGTCCCCTTCCTTCGTGATCTTCGGGTCAAACAAAATGCTAATCTTCAAAACAAAAAAATCCACTCCGGAATAGGCAAATGCAAGGAATCGTGGAATATGAAAGGCGTAACAAACAACCGGATACCCGGGACGGGTGGGTAATTCTGATAACAGGGATTCACTCTGAGCTACGTGTTGGCTTTAGATACGAGTTCCGAGTTGTATTTATACTACTGGAATAAAGTAACTGTGCATTATTTGATGTTCTGCCAATTTGTAATGCAAAAAGTTATAGCATAATTTGTAGTGTTTTCCTTAATCACTTTAACTCTTGATAGGATAATATCGAAATATGTATGATTTGACACTAGGCATCGTGACACGCCCTTGAAGACATGTGGTGTCAAAAGTCAGTTCACAAATTCAGTATCGTGTGTGTCCATCATTGGCGTTGATGCAGTTTTGACAACGACGCCGCATAGACGGCACTAAGCGATTGAAGAAAGCTTGGGGAATGTTGTTCCGTGTCTGAACCAACGTTTGTCCCAACTCAGCTGACGTCAATGGCTGATTCGGGGTTTGACGTAAACGTCTCTCCATTTCATCTCAAGCCTTCTCATACCATAACCCTGCTGCCAGCATACCGCTCAGCTCGCCGTCTGCCATCTGAGCTTTCCAGATGAAATCTCGAAACGTCAGTGAATAAAACACCATCCCAATCTCGTCTCCTGTACCGTAGATGCTGCCTGCACCAGGCAAAATGTGCCTGTTGGCGCAGACTTTGACGTATTTCAGGCCGTCGGGCCGGATGTTGAGCTCAGTCCTGGAACCGATTAGACGTAAGCCAGGAAAGGTCTGAGCAGTAAAACTGGCAATCTCGAATCGATTCCTTAGATGGATCAGCTGAATGTGGTTGTCTTGCTGACGTGACGTCACGCGTCCAAGGCAGATATCTCGTGTTCCCATTATGTTGAAAATGTCTCCATAATATAAGATCGTGATTCGATGGATACTAAAATGTCTGGCAACTTCATTTTGGGGCCATTCTGTTCTCCAGCATACCCACCGCTAATTTTCTGTAAGCCGTGACATTACGTAAGCCCTACGCATAGTTTAGGTTGAAATTAACATGTTTTCCACAACATTCAGAGGCTAGAGAATAATCAATTGTTCTTCAATGTTCAATATCAGATGTGTGAACTTCAGGTGTCAAAAAGCATGCAAAAAGTGAGTAAGTTCATTGAGCACAAAGTGCACGTCCCACAAGCCGTACGTGACATCAAATTTCAGTGCTTTGCTACATGTTTATTTTAGGTTTATTTCATAACTTTTCAAATAGCTTTTATTTTCTGCAATTTTATGTTATGCACAGGTACTTTTTCCGTTAGTATAGTTGGATATGAGACTCTTCTACAGATGTGAACATATGGCATGATACATTCGTGATGCTTTTCACAGCACGAGCCAAGTAGGACCAATGATTTGTGACTACGAGTCTTTGTTGAGAAACATGAAAAGACACCTTCACTTTAAGGAACGTGTTACTTACACTAGTTCGCTTTGAATTTAGGTAGATATATACATCTATGAAGTTTAGGCCTGCCTTTAGAATCCCTCACGAAATAAGCCCACGCGAAATCAAACATATTTGTATCTTTTTGTTTCACAATATTGTTGCAATTTCCCGACTTCACTACCTGTCCCTATGATTAACTGTGACGTTGCAATATTTTTGTACAAAAGTATTACACCGACTCCCTCGACTATGTTCTAATGGCGACAGAGGTCATACTTGCCTCAATAATTGTTATTGTTTTGTAAGGCTTCAGTGCAGTGTTGTCGAGGCCCCCCCTAGCTCAATCGGTAGATCGCGGGACTTCGTAAGTTCGATGATGATTTTAAGGTGTGTGTGTGTGTGTGTGTGTGTGTGTGTGTGTGTGTGGTTCCACCCATTTTGTTCTTGGGAGCTAGGGGTCAGCAATTTTGTACACACGTACTAGGGGGGGGGTGGGTTGTCCAGCAATTTTGTACATAAAAATATGTTTAAAATCATGCTTAGAATTTACGGGAAGCGGAGGGGAGTCATTGATTTTGTACATGACATGCAGGGGGTACTTATTTTGTACATAAATTTTAGGGGGTCATTCACATTGTACATGCTTCTCCATATAAATCTCCATCACCCCCACTAGCCATAAGAAAAAAGTTAACACACAAAATACAACTTGAATTATTTATTTCACTTTCCTTTTTGTTTACAGAGCTACCTGATTCAACAGGTTTGAAAATTGTGAATGATTTGGGTTCAACAGCACTTGCTTTCTTCGATATTTCTTGCTCAATATTTAGTTGAATGTCCCTTTGTAAGCACTGAAACATACATCAGTGAACATGTCATTATTAGTTGTATGAGTGATCGTACAGAATACATGATTATATGTGACGTTCTGATCTGGCACTTCTGTTATAGTTTAAACAGACCAGATCTGAGAAGTACAAGACAATATACTGCTAAAACACATAAATTATGCATTAGTGCCTGTTAACTAACAGGTTTCATTATAAATTGTATGTTTGTGATACTTATCCTATCTCACTTAGAGCACTTTCTTTTGTTCTTTTGACTGTGGAGTAGAAACCACCTGGAACAAAGTTTTCAGCCTCTCTGAACAGCTCCCAGGGAGTGGGCGATCACGAGTTACATGATTTCTTGTCATATTACTTATCAATGGACAATGGACCGAAAAATGACAGAGCTAAGAGACAGGAGTAGTGCTTTGCTCGATTTCCAAACAGGCCCCAGCTTCAAAAGACTTTTTGGTCTTCAGTCCCAAATAGCAAGTTCTGCCCCAGCATCTACACCATTCAGGTGAAAGGCAGAACACCTCTGTAAGCTCTGTTTAACATTCTGTACTAAGCCTAAGCAGCTGACCCTCGCTTATCCCTCTTAAATTTAGTCACTGATAAACAAGGAACACAGGAAATTTCGAACTCTGCAGAAGATTAGGAGTTGTTATTCGATTAACCGGACTGCTCACAAGAGCAGAGCATAGTGAGTATAAGTCTCACCTCAGTGTTGGTGTACAAGGCTGGACACTCAAGCCAAAAGTCACCAAAGATGACTGTACTTAAGCACCCCACCATACCACTGAGAGAGGTAGATCAAGGCAAGATACATAAAAATTGTTTATTCTGTATGTACTACGTAGCATCAGATCCTGTGAGACTTTGGGGAGACAACACAATCTGTGGTGTTCGCCTGTGAATCGGAATCGATGCAGTCCCTGGACGTCCAATATGGACAAGTCATGAATGTATAGGGACACCATGATCAATTTTAAGGAGCAGTTGCTGTGAAGAGCTATGGTTGAGGATACTTGAAGGATGGTAGACTGCATGGGTTGGGACTGGGTTGTGGAATGGTGACCCTTGTCGTGAATGTATCCCCCGAGGATTGGTGATAGGAAGGAACATCTCTGAGAGGTCAACACATGACATCAACACTGACTGAGTTTAGTTTTACGCCGCTTTTAGCAATATTCCAGTAATATCACAGCGGGGGACCCGAGAAATGGGCTTCACACATTGTGCCCATGTGGGGAATCGAACCCGGGTCTTCGGCGTGACGAGCCAACGCTTTAACCACTAGGCTACCCTACCGCCCCCAGTCCAATAAGAGAATGACTACAACTGGCAGTCACATGATCAATCGGGACAGTTCTCATGCTCTGCATTACCTTCCAGAGACGTTCTTTATCAATAACTGGAGCAGGGCTGAAAACTTTATATGTTCTAGGTAGTTTCCACTCCATGTTCAAAAGAGAAAGCCTTCAACGTGAGATTGAAACAATTAATTTGATTAAACATTAAAATGCCAAATTGCATCAAGGCTTGTTGCACATCAGCTTCATTTAAGGTGCAATGAATGTATGCACAGACTGAAATCTGAATGTGGCAAGTAAAGACAGTTGTTTAGGAGTCAGTTAATTGGCTTGTATAGTTTACTGTAATGCACTCTGATGTTAGAGGACAGGACAGTATGCCATCAACGTAACTTCCTGAAACTCGAAACACATTTGTTTTGGTTTCTAAACATTCAGAGAGTTATCATTATTAACATTCAGAGACTACAACCTGTAATACATCATTGCCTAAATCCTGCATGTTGGTTGTTGTAACAGTTTAACTAACACCATAATACCAAATTTCACTAGTAACTGTTCCCAATGAGTTGTGCCACTATCGCCCTGCCCAAACCATTTGTACCCAATCAGGTTACATCACTGGTAGGGATGTAGAAGACAATATACAAGTTCACATGACTTGTCAGCTGAACTAGAAATTTAAGCTGTTCTTCACCACCATCATCAGCTGGGGTAGCCTTGTGGTTAAAGCAGTTGCTTGTTACGCTGAAGACCCGGGTTCGATTCCACACATGGGAACAATGCATGAGGCCATATCTGGTGTCCCCTGCCGTGATATTGCAGAGATATTGCTAAAAGCATTGTAAAACTAAATCTCACTCACTCACAACCAGCATCAAAATGATGGCATCCACATGTATTTAATATACCTTTTTCCACTTTTTTTCATCAAGAAGTTTTGTCTTCTTTGGTGCTATGTCAATTCTTCCTGAAATAGAAAAAAACATATATCATAAGTATATTGTCAAACTAGTGAAATCATGATTCACCAATGCATCACCGGAAAGCTTTACCTGATACAATACAGTGATTGAGTGAGTTTAGTTTTACGCTGCACTCGGCAATATTCCAGCTATATGGTGGCAGTCTGTAAATAATCGAGTCTGGAGCAGACAATCCAGTGATCAACAGCACGAGCATTGATCTATGCAATTGGGATATGATGACATTTGTCAACCAAGTCAGCGAACATCAAACACATACCTAAAATAGCATCATGGATTTTGATGAATGCGATTTAAGAACCTGCCTTAGAAATTTACGTTTCCAGTTTACTATCCAGCTATGCATACAAAAAGTGTGTGAGATATGCATAGCCCTTATTCCGTATATACGTGAAATACAACTAACATGAATACATATTTGACTCGTCATCACTCTCCCGCTATGTTCAAGTTTAAGACAAAACAATGACTCGACCCATTATTTGTTCTTAAAGGTGGCTATAGTTTTTGTGAGGTCATTTTATAGATACCATGGCTGGGATTGTTTGTTTGTTGTTAATGCAGCACATTGCAGTACTCCAGCTACAGGAGAGTATGTAAACATCAAGTTTGGACCAGACAAACCAGTGACTGAGCAATGTTTTACATATTGATTATATATGTATATATTGATATAGGCATCATCCATGTCACCAAGGCTGACCACCGGATCCTGATACTCGCATCTTACAATAATCATGGGTTGCTGCATCCTCGATAATCTCCTGGGTATACATTACGATAACTCTTCAATATACCCTGGATGCTTGGGGCGATGATTTTATTACCTCCCTTGGCTGGCTTTTTATCCAATCAGGTGCCTACGCTGGGAACTTGAGCGTACCAATCACAACTCACTTTCGCTTCTTAAATTATCTAACGTTTAAACTTGGCAACACAACTGATGCAGAGGTACTCTGAAAGAGTTTTTAGTTTAGTTTTACGCTGCACTCAGCAATATCACAGCTATATGGTGCTCGGAAAGACTGACTGACTGACTGAGTTTGGTTTTACGCCGCATTTAGCAATATTCCAGCAACATCACGGCGGGGGACACCAGAAATGGGCTTCACACATTGTACCCATGTGGGGATTCGAACCCGGGTCTTCGGCGTGACGAGCCAACGCTTAACTACTAGGCTACCCCACCGCCCCACGCTCTGAAAGAAGTAGAAGGAGTTCTTTCATATATTTTTTGAAAGTTTCAGATCTGTGAATTTGTCTTTATTATTTCCCAAAAAATTTGAGTAGCACTGCGAACAAACCTTCGAGACTGTGACCACTATCTTTGTTGACACTGGCAAGCTCGGTTGTAACGGTGGCTTAGCTGATAGGCTACTGTGAGAATGTGGAGCCAGCCAAGGGAGGTAATAAAATCATCGCCCCAAGCCGAGGATGCATCCAGGGTATAGTGGGGAGTTATCGTAACGTATACCCTGGAGATTATCGAGGATGGGGTTGCTGAAGACCATTTCTAACCTGCATCTTTGCGTTTGTCAAAAATGTAATGGTCAGCGAGCATGGGCACTATACACATTTACCGCTTCTTACGACAAGCTTGGGACCCATCTTAAATGGAATTCCCTTGAGTCCATTTGATATTGTCAATGATTCCATGTACATTACATTTACAACATATCTGGGCATTTTGATTTGATGTAAATAGTCATTGTTTATGTCCCAATATTCTTAATGAATGGCTTTGTTAAAAATGCAAGCAGAGTAAATTTCCTGTCTGTCCTCACACCGGAACTGTCTTTCTGATCAATGGGGTAAGGTACTCATTTCCAATGAAAAAAATCAACAAACAAAGACTGAAAAAATTCTTAGGGATGGAGCCCCTTTCCAATCAAACATATGCAGGAAGATAAGAAGTGATCTTCAGCAGCCCATGGTAGTCATATGATGCTACTAATGGGATCAGGCAGTCAGGCCTACTGACTTGGTTGACACATCATCGCATCCCCATTGCATAGATTGATGCTCATGATGTTTTTCTCTTGGCTGCCTGTGGTATTCAACAACGAACAAACCAACCAATCACACAAACACCTCTTTACAATCCAATGTAATCTTTGGGAAATCTGTACAATGTGTTTATCGATGTTGTGATCGAGTTTTGCTAAGAATAATGGCTACTGTGGAAGCAAATGAAGTTTAACAATTGGGGACTGAGCATTTTGTGGACTCTGTCTCAGAACGGGTTGTAGTCAAAAGGGCCTAAGGACAAAAGGGCCAAAAAAAAAGTCAAAAGGGCCGTAAAGGGCTGAAAAATAAAAATGTAATAAATTACATACTAAAATAGTGTAAATAGTGTTTAGTTTGTTGTTGTTATTTTAAATGGAATTTGAACATGAGTCTCAAATGTTTTCATTGTGAAGTGTCTTGACTCTGTGTCATGACTAATCGGTCAGTTTGGTTGTTGTTGTAAGTTTTTAATCCAAATATAATTAAAACATGGGAGTCTAACGTTTTTCTTGTAAAGTAGATGATGAGGGCATCGTTACAGAAGCTGGTTGATCTCTGTGACTACATGGAGCGACAGTGGATGGGTCACTCGATCTTCACAGTGGTCAGTTGGTTACTTAGTTATTTACTTTATTTAGCGTTGCATGCACAACTAAGTTATTTCGGCGACGGGGTACCGTAGTACACTTATTAAGAAATGAAGGTGAACAAAAAAAAGTATAAATTTTTAAAGAATGGTGTTACAACCCCCCCAAAAAAAGAAACAGAGTATTAAAGGAAATTAAATGGAAGGCCGAATTAAAAAAGTAAGGAAAAAAAATGAAATAAGTAAAGAGTAATAGAGATTTAGAATTTAATATAGATGTGGTATAATAGTGGTTATTGTTATTGAACGAATGAACTTGTGTAAATTACCATTATATCATTTTTGTTAATTATGTGAACTTGTGTTAAGTAAATTAGGAACTATATGTATTGCCATTACATGTAAACTTGGCTACATGCTTGGCTATTACCATGCCATTACCATTTTATTAATGTTATGATGATATTATGTTTCAGTGCTATATGTGTCAATAAATAATGTATAACCTTTCTAAATTTTTTTCTGTTCAGCCCATATGACTAGGAATAAGGCCCTTTTGACTTTTTGTCACGGGCCATTTGACTTTCACCTCGGCCCTTTTGACTTTTTCCATCGGCCCTTTTGACTTTTTCCATCGGCCCTTTTCACTTGGCACTTCTCGGCCGTTTTGTCTTTCGGCCCATTTGACTAGTTCCCTCTCAGAACAGACATGGGAGTCCCGATCACCCTAAACCTGACCCTGCTGCAGTTTTAGAGGTTACAATTTTATCACTTCTCTATTGATCATTTCCCCATATGTATACTTCCCCACACTGTCATTTCTGTGTGGGACAGTACATCGCACTGACATTTCTCACCATGGACCTTTCCTCACACAGATTATACAAATGATATAAAAACCATCAACATATAATACATTTATATCAATTTTGTTTACAACTGACAAACTAGAACAATATATATGTCAGGGTAGAGACTGCGATCTGGTAGAATCGGAGATTCTACCAGTAGAGATTGCGATCGGAGTCTCTACCAGTAGAGACTGCGATCAGAGTCTCTACTGGTAGAATCTCCGATCCTACTAGTAGAGATTGCGATCGTAGTCTCTACTGGTTGAATCGGAGATTCTACCAGTACATTTTCCAATTCAACTGGTAGAAACTCCAATCCTACTAGTACAGGCTGCAATCGCGTCTTCAACTGGTAGAAACTCCGGCGTGATCTGTGGGTAAACAACAAAGACACTTTTTCTGAACAGTACTATGCATTTTATTCAGATATAACACTAGACTGTTTCCACTTCTACAGATATATTAAGGACTAAAAATACAAATGTGACTTGAGAGATCATATAACAATATACATATATTTTACAAAACTGATTACAAGCAGATCAATCAATCAGTGTTTGCCCTAGGCATAACAATTTAGAAGTCATCATGAGAGGGAGTCATGGACATTTTGGGGAGTCAACTTCTTTCATCAAGAGATCAACTGTTATCAGGGTTGAAATACCCCATATATTAGTGTGCCATGGCACGGTCATTATTGAAATGGCACGGCTAAAAATGTTTCCGGTGCCCTTTTGATACCCCTGATTTTTCAGAGACATAACTCACATTTAGTCATTTAATCCCCAAAACAATTATTTTTTTTCCAAATTAAATAATACCATACATATGTGAATGCTCATAAACCCATTTCTTTATTTAACAATAAATTTCAAAAGATCATCATCATTGTCATTTATTCAAAAACATGTGGGCATACTCAATTTCTGAAAGGCACACCTAAAATAATCAAAAGTACTAAACTTTATTTTGGCACACGTTAGTTGTTGATGGGTGGCACTTTGTTGAGCATTTCATTCCTTGTTTTTTTGCACCTACATCTGTTCGTTACACAGCTCCCCTAGCAAGAACATACAGTTGATCCTTGTGTCCTACTTGCTGTCCAACCATTGTTCATTCTTGAAGCCTGGATGAGACTGATTTCGTCAAGACTGTGGACATCCTTATGCTCCAATGATGGAAAAAAAACATTACGCATGTCAACCAGCTCTTCCGGACCAAAGGTGTTTCTCAGACGACCATGTGCTGTATATAACTTGTATGTTGCATCTTTCCCTGCACCTTGAACTTGTAGGACCTTGCATGGCAGAAGTCGAGGGTCAGTGTTTGTGCGATCCACTTCGTGAATGCGTATTCCAACAGTGTCCCCTTCACTGAAAGAAGTAATTTCTAACTTGGCATCATAATTAACTTTCACTATCCTTTGTGTACTCACTGGCTTCCTCAGCTTACTGCTTAGCCAATCATGGCAATTATGTTGTTTCCTTTGTCTATTATGTTGTTTCATTGTTATATACAGTATATATATGCAGCTCCTACACTTCATGTATCACTCTTGCTTGACAACGGTACAAGAATCTGTATCGAAACGTCGCACTCACGAAATAAAGAAGTTGTTATCCATAAAACTTGTTCTATATTGTACGTCTCAACTTCTAAAATGCCACTCAAACAAGTCATAATTAACTTGCTGTCTGTTGGCTGCTTTCAGATAGTTGTCTGTTGCAATTTTCCGTACCTTACTGTGTGGTGTGTCAGGCTCTAGTGGAACTGCTTGAGTGATATCCCAAACGATGAACTGGCCAACAGAAAGTGGTTCATCAAATGGGTTACCTCCAGCTGGAATGAAGTCCGGATCCTCCACAGTTGTTATCTGGAATACTCCCTGATGTTGGGAATCAACTGTTTCACCATGTACTGTGGTCCTCCCAAACACTTTGGTTCCAGTTCCAACTATTTTTGCACCATCCAGAAGCTGGTACTCCTGGCAAGAATCACTTGGCTGGGATGTGGTCTGGATGTCTGCAGAATCACTTGTAGTCTGGTTTGTCAGTGGGTTGATGGGATCTTCAACTTGTCTGCTCTCCAACTGGATGAAAAGATCTGTTAAATCATCCTCATCTTGAATGCCCTGCTCATCCAGTATTTCCAGTACAGCACAGTCAGTTCGAGGAGGCTGGCCAAAGACGACTTCATACGGTGACTTCCTGGTTGTTGAGCTAGTAGAAGTGTTGATTGCATATGTGACACGAAGAAGACCCTGGACCCAGCCTCTGTCCGGGTTTTCCTCCATCCACTTGCCGAGTTTAAGCTGCAGATCTCCATTCCCCCTCTCCACACAGCCCTGTGATTGAGGATGACGAGGTCGCCCATGAAGGATGATCATACCTGGAAGAGTACCACATAAGTTTTATTAAAATGAAAAATACGGAACATCAATAAGAGTTATTATTACTGACAAATGTGACATGTGTTCAATCAATAAGAGTTGCATTTAAAATACTACTAAACCACATAAAAATCATTAACACTTACCAGGCCAGTCCTTGCAGAGGTCGTTGATGACAGCAGACACAAATTCACGCCCATTATCTGACTGCATAATCTGAGGACAGCCAAACAAGCAAAAGGTCTGGACAAGCTTCTCTGCAACTTCACCAGACCGCTTGGATGTCAAAGGGTGTGTCCAGCTGAACTTGCTGAAGTGGTCACGCATATGGAGGATCCACTTGAAGTCACTATCTGGTCTGCTGGTCATGTCGATTAAGTCAATCTGGACACGGGTCAGGAATCCAAGGGAGATGATGGGCTTCCCCGATGCAGGTTTCTTGAGGGGGATGCGTGTAGAACACTCATGGCAAGTGCTGAGGAAAAGTTTTACCAAGTCATGCCTAATCCATGAGTAGTTAGCCTTGATCTCATCCCATGTTTTTGCACGTCGTGAGTGACCAACTCTTGTGTGACAGCTGCAAAGAAAAACAAGAATGGAACTAATGTCATTTTCTGTTTCATTCAACTCAACATTAAGAAGCATAATATATAAATCAAATAATTAATATAAATTATAATGAATACTGTAAATATATAACATACCGTTTAACTGTGTCAAATATCTCCTCCTTGGTGATGACTGGGCATGATGTTTTCTTGCAGTAGAGAATCCTCCTAGACCCTATCTTTTGGAGCTTGAAGTGCTTAGCACACCAGAACTTGAAATGGCTGCCTGCTGCACACTTTACACCCTTATCCAACTGCAGAGCTTCCACAGCTTTCTCATATGTTTCTTGGGTGATGCAAAATGTTTCTTGTTTCTTCTTGTCAAGCTGTGCAATGTGGTCATCCAGCAGTTTGTAAAACTCGGCCTTCTGTTCCTCCATTGTCGACTGGTGTGTGGTGATCTCTATGGCCTTAACTGAATACTGGTTCATGCTCAAATCTATTCACCTTATATAACCATAAACAGTGTGAGTAACACCTCTGACATCTGACGTACCTTCAGCCCAGTATCCATACACTTAGTTAAAACAACAAAATGATTTCACCTTTGACTAATTGATCCATGAGAGTAAGGGGTGAACAACACAAAGATAAGCTGGATTAACAGTTTGAGATTAACAGATTAAGACTGACTGAAACTGAGTTAACGACATATTAATTAACTTAAGATTGGTTTGTTTAAACATATTATATTTCGAAAGAAAACTGAATTGTTAAACAAGCATGTTGGCTTATTGTAACACTGCTCCAGGAAATACAGAATTGGTTTGTTGTTATAAGCTATAGGTGTATTGGCATGTCGGCATTTTGGGAGGATAGGTGTAGGGCAATTCCCCACCAGGTCATTACCCCATCTGCCATATCCCCACCTGGTCATTTCCCCACCTCTTTGGAAAGCAGTGTTTTTATAACAATTACTGATCATAAGTTTTGAAATACATCTGAATGAACTTCCTACTTTTAACTGAGACTTTGATAACAAACATTTAACACCTCACTGTAAACAATATCAAAATAAAAAATAAAAATGGTTTGTAACACTGTATTTACATCATGAGACCAAGCTGCCAAATTTGGACTCCACTCAAAAAAACCAAAACAAAATACCTTACTCCAAAACAGACTTAACAAATAAAGTTAACAAGATATTATAACAATAAATAAGTTCAATTATAACTGGCAAATAATAGGAAAACATTATCCCCACTTATTATACTTGCTTGCATAAGCTTGCACTTGCTTGCACAGGTTATTCCATATAATCGTAGTCTCTACCAGTAGAGACTACGATTGCAATCTCTACTAGTAGGATCGGAGATTCTACCAGTAGAGACTCCGATCGCATAGGTTATTCCATATAATCGCAATCTCTACTAGTAGGATCGGAGATTCATCCAGTAGAGACTCCGATCGCAGTCTCTACTTGTAGAGACTCCGATCGCAGTCTCTACTTGTAGAGACTCCGATCGCAATCTCTACTGGTAGAATCTCCGATTCTACCAGATCGCAGTCTCTACCCTGACATATATATAAACATCTATTCTAAATTCAACATTTCAGTTTTCACGAGGCAGGGGTAAGAAAATCGGTTAGAGTTCCGCCCGTAATCCACGCTTGAAATGTTAGGGTAGGTGGTGACATCTGAATCTTTTCAGAAATCTTTCTACTCCCCTAAACTTCTTAACCCCCTTTAAATACGGGCGGAAATCTCTCCGTCCGGACCCTCGTCATTGAGATGTGCGCGAAAACTGATAACCCGAGTGTATAGTCCGTTTGCTGGTAAAAAGTCAGTTGTCGCCTATTTCATATCAACCTTTCTTGGGCCCTGTTTTCCGTGTAGGTTGCCTCTGCTTTTTTTCTGCTATTGTGTGCTGATTTTGTGAACTTTTTCATCCCTTGTGCCATTTTCCCTTTAGCCAAGCACCATCCAACCGGAAGAACTACCTGTGTGTTATTTTCGAGTCAAAAGCTGGACGGGAATTATGATATGAGAATGGAGTGACTAAATTACCTTGTTAGGCAATACTGATACCGATGCCCGATGCAAAGGATCACGTTTCCAAAAATAAATATTGAAACGACCAAATACACATGGTGGTATTAATGCCAGCCCTTGTTATGTCTATCGTGTCTACTTTTTGTAAAACCCCAACGGAACAAACTACTTGGGTAAGGGGGCGTTCGCCTTAGTCCTTTTTTCAGGAAATCGTAACAAAATTAATTTATGATAGAATGCTTTGTTGGCACTACATATATATATGTTAACTTCTCTTTTTGGATATAGTGACAATTGTTAACAGTAATTTATCAATGTGTGAATATTTCAGGTTGATTATTGACTACCTTAGATTTTTGGATGGAATGGTCCGTATGAACATAAACAAACCTGTGGACATGGGGTATGAAGTGCATTAGAAACATACAAGAAGCGTTAAGAAGGTGGATTGCTCATGTTGTAATAGCTCTGAAAGGTAACTTTAGAACAAATATAAAAATTAATGTATGAGTTCATAACATTCACCGTTATCCGTAGAAAACGTGACAGTGCAATGTCTTGCTAGGAGCATTGATTCCTGATCCAGACAAAACAACACACAGAATTACCATGAATGTTGACCCTGAGATTGTCATTATATTTATACCGTGTCCTCCTCTGTCAAACACACACACCTAACCCCCATTTAGGAGGTAACAGGAAAGTGAAGAATGGCTGTCTTACCTCAACATGTTTAATGTTACATTAATGCTTCAAGAGCTTCACAATATATCACCCAGAGGGGGCAGTCTTGCATCTGTATCCTTGTGTTTTGGGTTTTCGGACACTTAAGAAAATATGTTGTTATCCCGATTTGACATTAACAATTGTTAAATGTGCCACTAATATATAAAAGATAACTATCCTAAACACAAGCTATCATTCAAGAGTTTACAATGTCTGTGTGATGCAACACCCTTCCCGAGTAAGCGCTGACGTCCAAAAACTCATAATCCAACGATATATATATTTCTTTTGCAAAGTTTGAAGCAGCATATCCTGCTTGCAAATATTTCCCTTATTTGCCCGACTACTTAAGCTGAAGGGGTTGTTGTAGGCACATGTACTACAGTTATGTACCAGATGTGCATTTCTGTATTCAGAAATGTACCCTAAACTAAGTCAAAAGACAGAAACGTAACCGGTTCCCTAAACAGCGGATGAGTCTATATTTCACAACCCAAAACCGAATGTAGTTGTTCCCGTTCAGCTGATTGCGAGTGGTATTGTGGTCTTTGAAATGTTTGTTACTGTGTATGGTCGTTTCTTATATAATGCAATCAAATGTATCTAATACAACAGTATGACAGTTACGATCAAGAAAACGACACAGTGCATAATGTAATCGTCATAGAGTATGTTTCTGTATTCTGATTTTGTCTAGGGTATGTTTCTGTACACAGAAAGGTACTGTTGTACACTTCTGTAGTACCCATGCCGACAACGACCCCCTCAGCACCACTTAAGGTTGGTAAAGGGAGTATCAGTGGTTTTGATATGTAAAATTATTGAAGATAAAATTAGTTTCATTCTTACATGGCTATTAGATTTAACATTAAATCAAACATTATTTGCCATGTAAGTTCCAACTTCCATACCTTAAAAGTTCTAAGGATGGTTGATATGATGTAGATGTGAGGAAGAATAGGATGTTGCTTCGCAGTGTCAGCCATTATGTGCAGCCTAGCTCCATATTGTTCACTATAAGAATATAGTTCCTCAGCAACATATATTTATGCACACGTTAATCTGCTGTTTGTCAAAACATACTACCAGTATGTATATATACCTCTCATCATTTAGTTGTATTCACTTTTAGCTTGATAACGGTGTAAGAATCTACATCAGAATATCGCTCTATGCAATAAATAACAAGTTGTCATCCATAAAGTTGTATGTTTCATTTTAGTCTATATTGTCAACACTTTTCTTGTAACATATTCTTAATTATGATAATGTGTTTCAGGCTGTGATCAGTGTGGAAGAGGTGGCGTGAAGTTCAACACACTGCCTCACATAGCATACACAATGGCCTCCTTGGATGAGCCAGAGTCTGATCAGCATAATGATGATGTCAGCAATGATGGTCACAGTATACGGCGTCTACACTCAGCTTCAGGTTTCTCTCAGGAAGAGGATGGCATCTTCTGTAAGAATGACCCATACAAAGCCTTGCAGAGGTCACAGTCGGATGCTGCATTGCTGAACTCCCCCGATGAAGCACAGTCAAAGCTGTCCAACCTTGTTAGTATGGCAGAGAATTTCAATGGAGGCACAAATGTTTCTGAGTGTTCCAAAGTTTACCTTGATTTGTCTCGTGCTGAGGCATTTGAGAAGGTTGAGCTTGGCGAGAGTCAGGGCAGAATGGTACGAGTGTCATCTGGTCGATTTTTGGAGACTATCATGCAAGATGAAGAGCTTCAGACAGGAGATCTTAGTCATGTTTATAGCCAGCATTCTCTCTCAAGTGAGAGCAAGTCGAGCCTTGGCTGCAGCACCAGTGAGGATGACATTTCAGGGAAAATATCCACTTGTGTAGAGAAGACATCAACATCAGTGAAAGTGGTCAAGACAAGTCAAGGTCAGTCAAGTGAGCAGGCCAACAAACTTAAGGCCAATATGAAATCCAGTTTTCAGATATACTCTCATTCCTTGAAACAGAACATTCGTCAGCTGCAGATGGGATCTGTTCCTGAACAGATCAATGCCTTGCAAGAACTGAATGTACTCATAGCTCAAGCATGGTCAATGCAGATATATGGTCGAGACCTTGCTTATGGTCTGTGTGATATCCTGAGGACAGAACGGGCTCTGGACATAATAGTCAATAACTGTGCATCCAGTAATAAGGAATTACGAACTGCTTCTGCATATTTATTGGAACAAGTTCTTACAACAGGCAATAGAAAGCGTGTGGCTGAGTCTGGGTTAGAGACAATAGTAAAGATGACTGTTACTGCTAAAGGTGATTGTGAATTGGCCCGTACAAGTACAGGAATCCTAGAAAGCCTTTTTAAAACATCTGAAGATACATGTACAAATGTTATCCAGCTTGGTGGTCTGGATGTTATTTTACATTGGTGTCGTTGTAATGACCGCTTGACCCTAAGACATTGTGCAATAGCCCTTGCAAACTTGGCCTTGTATGGTGGCCCCGAAAACCAACATCAGATGACGAAGCGGTAAGGTTCCTGAGTGGTTGTTTCCTCTCGCCTTTATAAATGATGACAGTGTCAGATACTATGCTTGTCTGGCAATTGCTGTGCTGGTAGCAAACAAGGAGATTGAAGCTGCGGTAGAGGCATCTGGCACCTTGGGGTTGGTCAGTCCTTTCCTTGCCAGCCATAACCCAGCAGAGTTTGCCCAGATGGATACCTCACATCGTCAAGGACGGTCCCTGGGCTGGCTTCGGCGTCTGGTCCCGGTCCTGTCAAGCAAGAGGGAGGATGCTCAAGCTCTAGCTGCCTTCCACTTTGCCATGGAAGCAGGAATCAAGGCTGAACAAAATAAGAAGGAGGTAACTGCAGTGTCACTTCACTTCTGGTGTTGTTGCCAAGAATTTCTTCTTTGTTAATCATGGGTTAATTGGCATATAAACCTCTCATTTTCACTAAAATGTGTAGGTATATACAACATCTACACATTTTGCTATGTTAATATCATTTATGTAAGCAATATCTTACTTGAATAAAGATTAGCAGATCTGTAAATCCTCTGGAATATGAACACTGAAACTCGTGTGTCTATTGACATTTCTGGGGGAAAAGTGGTTGAAAAACATTTGGATTAATTCATCAATTTGTGTGTGAATGTTTAACCAGCACACACCACTGTCCCCCTTACATGTGGGTGCGTGAAGTTTACCTGTCACTGCCACAGTTGGTTGAGTCAAACAAGAATTTATGGCTATGCTATGATAGATATAGTTTTCTTTAAAAAATATATACACATTGATAGTTATTGTTTAATTATTTTTGGTTTTGGGTTATATCTGTTCAAAAAGACCTCAAACTTTTGGAAAGTAAGACTTTCGGGTGTTTGTGTCATTTTTTGTGTCATATGTTTTGGAAATTTATGATATAGGAACTATATGAAATTGGCTGTGTGGAACCCCTGAAGCGATTGGCAAGCACCCCTAACTCTACAGCATCACAACTGGCTGCAGAGGCACTGAAGATAATTGGGGAAGAGATACCTCGCAAGCTGTCTCAACAAGTGCCTCTCTGGAGTGTGGAGGATGTTGTCTACTGGGTCAATCAGGTATTGCTGTGAACATGGTAAAATCAAACATGGATGCCACATACTCGAGTAATTACAAAGTTTGAATGAAAATAGTATTTAGTTGCTATTCCTTCCTTCCCGATCATGCTACAGCAGCCACCACTGATTCCATCTCCCATCATTCACCTGATTCTGCAGCTATCACCCAACTGCACACATGCCTTCACACAAACCTCTGAATACTCTAACTTTGTCTTTTTACAAAATCCAAACAGTTCATACAGTTATATCACATGCATCATAAGGGAAAATTCCATAAGTCATTGAAAACAAATCATTCAGTTTGTATAAAGTTCAATAGTAGGAAGGCATTTCATATTCTCGCGGTACTTACAGATATCGGCTGAAAAAGTAACACAAACAATTCTTATCGTATTAATGCTTGTTGTTTTTAAATGAAGGGTCTTCTCCTCTAACATCTACATCTATCAGCTGCCAGATCCATCAGGTGAATTACCACTCGTGTGCCCGGTGATAACCAATGCCATCCGCCATTGACGAAACAAGGCTTCTCCCATTCTCGCAGTATTACCAGGAATTAACGTTATTGAGTGTATGTAAGAGCAATCCTGCCGGAAAGGGCGGGAAAAAGTAATGATATGTCCAAGTTGGTATAAACTCCCCAATATTCGTGACACTGCAAGATTTTGATCACTCACAGACTTGGTCCACTTCCTAGTTACCAGTCGGTGATGTAAACAACCGCTAAGTGTTGCACATCAGCGATTTCGGCAGAAAACGTGTTTACCGCGAGAATAGGAAACCCGCGAGAATAGGAGACGGACCTATACATAGACTTCCACAAATTACTGTCTGGTTGGGTCCTAGCAGTGGTTATAACAAACTGAAAATAGTGGTCTCCCTGAATTCATCATAACCATAATTTACTGTAGGTAGTAAACGTGCATGGTTAACATGTACAATTAAACAGGTAGTAATCTTACATGTACATCCCAATGTAGTGGAGGAAACATGCATTTACAATCAACTCTAACAAATATTGTGTTTTTGTGATTACACTTTCTCAGTAAAGTACCGATTCTTGTCCCATCCAGGTTTCGAACTCACACTCTTAGAACCAGGCACCTAATTGTCAGCCGTCTAACCGTGGTGGCTGAGTGGGTTAGACGGCTTGTTACATTTGACAACTTTCAATATGGCATGGTGTATTCATACTATCAACTCATAAACTTGTTTGCACAAAATGGAATGAAGCTATATTCCTAGCTATTAACTTTCCTTGCTGTTAATATAATGCCTTACTTATACCTGTCAGTGATTGTGTATGTAACATTTAATGAAATGTTACTGAGCATAATGTACCGTATTCGTCCTGTTGCAGGTTGGGTTTGAGAGCTATGCTGGCATGTTTGAGAAGTGCTCGGTAGATGGTGACCTTCTACTGCAGCTCAATGAGGATGAGCTGCTAAGCAGTTTGGGAATGAATTGCAAGATTGCCAGGAAGAGGTTAGTTCAACACCTCGGTAAATGAATTAGTACAGTAGCGTTCGCTCAATGCCTCCCACACAATGCGTGTTCCCAACTGAACAGTTTTTGATACAAAAATATAAATTTTTCCTTATCCTGACTCATGCTCTTTTGCTTGTCTTCTTCTTCTTGCGAACATAGTGGAACACTTGTATCTCCTTAATTGAAGCTCCCTTCAATGTAAAATCACTAATTGGTACTCACCAAGAGTTGCCTCCCTTGCCCTTTGCGCGGGAACAGGTGTCGCCACCCTCTGGCCTCATGCTTCACTCTCTCCTTCTTCGCCCAGTGAGCAGGATGTGAGAGCGCCTATGTCTCCTTACACACTATATCCTTTGTTTTTCTTAGTTAGTTTATTCTTATAGGTTACTATAGAGGTATAGCTAGTATCCTTCATTAATTTGTATTGATAATTAATCGTGATTTCTACTGTTTATACAACGCCATTGAGTTGTTCATGCTGCATTGTTCAGCTAGTATTACGTTGATGAAAATCTGTACTATTTGTAGATTACGAAACAGTTTTCAGTCTGCTGCTGACCAGAGCAGATGTATTATGCCCTAGTTGTGCTACCGTCTGGTGTTCCGCCTGAGTTCCCTTCGAGAAGCTGGGACGCAGTCCGCTATATCCAAGAAGCGACCTGCATCCCAGGACATTCCATCATCACAGTCTAAGACTAGGAGAGCTTCCACGTCGTCACAACGCACGCCTCGCACCCCCAGGGCTACAGCTTCGTCGAAGGGAAACCCACGAAGGCTACTAAAAAACTTTTCATCTGACATTCTTCCTGTTTCAGAATTGTGTTTATATGATGATGACATTCCGATTATCATTCCAGATGTACGGCATAAGAAGCGTTCAGTATCGGCTACCGTCACTTCAGCTTAGATCAACACGCAACCAGAGATGCCTACGCTGACGGCTGAGATTCTAACTGAGGGTCCCGTCGCTACCATAGAGAGGGCAGCCTCAACGCCAGCGCAGACCGTCCCAGACGACCTGGTCAGCCAGATTATGATGTTGATGGAAGACCGATACGGTTTACAGAGGCCTCAGAGCCGTGGGCCCCAGAGCCCAACCCATAATAAGTCATGTAGGGCCCCAGAGCTCGCTATGACTTCGCGTAGGGCCCCAGAGCCCACAAACGCGCCTCCACGAAGGGCAACCCAGCCCGTATCGAAGCCTTCGCGAAGAACGTCCCAGGCCGCCTCCACGAAGGATCCAGATCCTCACCATTCGCGAAAGGCTTCACGGAGGAGGAGTGCTTCACCGAGCTCAGACCCTGAAGAACACAGAGGTCGTTCGCGAAGCAAGCTCCTATATAATGATTCGGACTCTGACTCGATACCTTCACGAAGGCCTTCACGTGGCTCCAAGTCATCTTCATCCAGAAGATCTAGAAGGGATTCATCGAGAGCTTCACGAAGCCACCAGCGTTCGCCGAGGAAGTCTCCTCCAAGGTCTCCCTATACTAGCCACTCGTCAGTCCGTTCACCACAATCTTCGCGTCGATCTTCTTACAGATCTAGGACTCCACCTCACTCTATTATATGTGATCCTACGTCAGAAGAGGAAGGAGGTATCGTATTCTCGGATGCAGAAATTAGATACTGGATGGTGAATGGATTGGAACTTACTTCCCCGTCTAAGAACGAGAACTCAGCTCATACTTATTTGATGAAGGAAGATGATGCGGACACTTATCTCCTTACCTCCTATTGACCCGATAGCAGCGGTCCCAGCTAATCTGGATACAGCCTTTACCAAATCTACGAAGTTTCAGTCAACACATTTCCCGGTTTTCAACGCCAAGAAGTTTGCAGGCCACAATATGGACTCCTTTTTCAAGGCTCAAGATATTGATGAGAACTTTAAGTTAATCAGCGATGCCAAGTCCAGGAATTACAGAATAGACGATCGCAAACTAGCCCAGTTGGATACCATTTCTAGGAGAATTTTTTTTGGATTGAATAGATCTAGAACTGTCAATGAAACCCTCATCACCAAGTTCAAAGATTCTACAGAGGAAGAAGATAGGATGATCTACTCGGCTCTACTCATGCAGAAAAGAGACCAACAGTTCCTTACAGATCACTTGTCAGCACTTACTGCAGCTACTACCATGGCTCGTCGTTAGGGTCTACTAGCCTCCTGCAATTGGGGTAATCAATTTACGGAATCCCTCTCACGGCTGCCCGTGGTCATCACCTTTGCTCTTTGGTGGTAACATAGACAAGGTCTCCAAAGAGGTGACTAAGGACTCTAGAGAGGTGCTTATGATCAAGTCCATGGATATGTTAGCTAATGTCATTAAGCAAACATCCTTGAGATACTCGGGCAAGTCTAAATTCTCTGGACTACAGAAAGCACGGACAAGAAATTGGCTACAGCAAAAGGTCCCAAGGAATCTTTTTGCCGCCCATACAGCAATTTCAGAGGAGGATCAGCAAGAGGCAGGTCATCCAGAGGTTTCCGCGCTTTTAAACGATGAAATACAGGTTCGGAACGACTGGAGTCTTCCACCCCCAGCCGTTCCAGTACAACCTTCTCAAGTGGGTGGGCGCTCAGAATGGATGCTCCACACAGAGATATTCACTCAAATAATCAAGGAAATAGGATCTCCACTAGTAGACCTATTCGCCACTCGATTCAACAAACAACTGACAACGTTCAGATCGCCAGTTCCAGACCCACTAGCATGGGCAACGGACGCACTAAGCATATCGTGGGAGGGACTCAACGCGCAGACGCTTTCCCACCACCAGCGTTAATCCCATTAAGTCTTACTGAAAATCAGTCAAACGCAGAGCCTCCATCTGATTTTGGTGGTACTCTACTGGCCAGCGTGGTTTCCAACTCTTATTCAAGAACGGACAACCATTTCAACTCTTATTCAAGAAATCTGTTGACCACCAAACAAACAAGCGCACAGAAAGCCAGAAGTATTCCAACTTCACGTATGGATTGTATCAAGGCATGTCTGAATAAGAGAGGTTATTCAGCCAGAGCGACAAAAGCAGTCACGCTTGCCCTGCGTAACTCAACTCACAACTTATACGATGACAAATGGCACAGTTTTGTCAATTATGCTGCAAAGAAAGGATTTACAGCCAGATATGCTACTCATCCTCAAGTGGCGGACTACTTATGTTATCTACGTCAGACTAAGAATCTAAAAGGCTCAACTTTGTCCACTTATCTTGCAGCAATAAGCTCTGTCATAACTATGAGAACGGGCGTCAAGCTAACCAAAACCCCAGAGTTACTCGCTTTGCTACGAGCATTCCGATTGGAGGATCAAAAACAGAAGTTTCACGCTCCAGCTTGGGATCTGAATATAGTACTCCAACACCTCACAAGTGAGGCTTTTGAACCGTTAGAATCTACGTCATTTGAATCACTGACTCAGATAACCTCGTTCCTGTTATCTCTAGCTACGGCTGCCAGGATGTCAGAGATTCACGCATTGGATTACGAGAGAACACGCTTTGATGATATTCATAACATCGTTCATCTGGGACTACGCTGGGATTTTATAGCCAAGAACCAATTGCCAGGTCAACCAGACAGATTATTCCACGTCCCAGCTCTCTCATCTATACTTGGACCTCATGATACGATGGATCTATCACTGTGCCCAGTAAGAGCACTGAAAATACATCTCCACCGATCCAAACAGAGGAGAGCAATATTCAAGAGATTATTTATCCCTCTATCTACAGCTACGCAGACGGAAGTCTCACGTACTACTATCTCCATTTGGATCAGAACTGTCGTACTATGTGCCTTCAAGGCTGCAGGACTCGACCCTCCAAGAGCATCTAATCCTCATGAAATTAGAGCGCTAGCATCTACACTTGCTCTACACGGCAACTGCTCTTTGAATACCATAATTGAGGGTTGTTTCTGGAGATCCGATATGGTGTTTGCCAACCACTATCTGAGAGATATCACCACCGAGGACATCTCAGGTATCCACCATTTCGGTCCCATGGTCCTCGCTCAACAGTTGACAGTTCCTCTTACAGATTTTATACTTATCTTATAACAGTACTAAATAGCTACATGCTATATATATTTTGCTTAAGTTCATTTTATTATCTTAAGCTCAGTACTATGGTTGTTATATCATACAATATATTAGCTAACAACTCTAAGGAGTTTTGCTATTATATATATTTAGCTCAAGTTTCATCATATCTTAAGCTCAGTATTATGGTCACATTTTAAAATGTATTAGCTAACAAACTCTACGGAGTTTTTTGCTATTATATAGCTTAAGTTAAATTATATCTTAAGCACAGTACTATACTCATATAGCTTAAGTTTATTTATATCTTAAGCTTAGTACTTTGGTTACTTCATAAAAGTATATTAGCTAATAAACTCGAAGGAGTTATGCTATCATATTAACAACTTAAGGCTATTAGTCTTAAGCTTTGTATTAATGTTGTATATACTTTTATCATATAATTATATTGTAATAACCCATGTATGGCAGCTGATAAGTTAGCAGCAGGAATTCATCAATTCAGTGCCTTTATGAAGTTCCCATAAGGGTTATTACAGTCATTACAGTTCAAAATCACTAATTATCCAAATCCAAAGTATTATATATTCCCACCTCCAGATCCCATCGGATTCTACAAGCAAATAGCATGAGTCAGGATAAGGAAAAATATGTAATTTTCTGAATAAAATTGATATTTTATACTTATCCTGACTCATGAGGTAAGCCCTCCCATCCTCCCCACATAACACTTTGGATTTCCCTGTAAATTCAAGTGTTGGGCTCGCTATAAAAGGAGAGAGTGAGGCACATGGTGAGAGGTGGCGCCCTCGTTCCTGCGCTTTCGAGGGGAAAGATAACTCGTGGTGAGTACTAATTAGTGATTTTACATTGAAGGGAACTTCAATTGGGAGATACAAGTGTTCCACTGTGTTCGCAAGAAGAAGAAGACAAGGAAATAGCATGAGTCAGGATAAGTATAAAATATCAATTTTATTCAGAAAATTACATATTTATATGATGTGTTTTCAATGATAGTTAGTCTTTACACATACGCTCACTTTTAAAACAAAGTCGAAAAACATTTCACACAAACACAACCTTTCTTGGTTATGTAAGGCTTCTGTTGATTGGCCTTTCATTTTATCATTAGCCAATCAGAAATCTGCTCTCAAAATAAACAAGTTTCAGGTATCTTGAACTTTCAGTTCACCAAGCTGGCAAAAAAACATGCTTTTACAAAAAATAACAAACACAGTAAGTCAACCATTTATTGGATGTTTTATTGTGCCATATACAAATTACAATTTCAGATTCTTAAGGGAGTTGCGTGACTTGAAGATATCGGCAGATTATACATCCTGTGATCCCAGCAAGTTGGATGACTGGTTGAGTGAGGTTGCCCCAGCGTTTTCCCAGTACACCTACCAGATGCTACATTGTGGTGTAGATCGCAAGATGCTGGCCCTACTGACAGAGGAACACCTGCAAGTTGACTGCAATATTAACAATGGTGTGCATCGCATGATGATGCTGCAGAGGGTGAGAGGTAAGACAGCAGCCATTACACCGTAACTTTCCACTGATATGATTGGATGGTGTGGAAGGTCAAAGTCACTCTGTGTCAACTAATTACCTTGACCTTCAAGACTTCAGAACCTCAAAGGAAACTGTGTTGAATTGGCTGCAAGTACTTGCAAAAAGTGTTCATTGCTTTATTATCCCCGCCACGCGTTTAGCGCGAAGAGGGGTATATGGTATTAGGCTCCGTCCGTCTGACCGTACGTACGTATGAATTGGAATATCTTAAGAACCATTGACTGGATTCTTTTCATACTTGGTACCTAGGTTCATCACAGTATAAGAAAGGTCCCAGTCAGGTTTGGTGACCTTGACCTTCATTTCAAGGTCACCAGGGGACTTTAACATTTTACCCTTGTCAGTGAGATATCTCAAGAACCGTTCACTGGATTTTCTTCATATTTGACACCAAGCTTTATATAGGGAAGGCGCAGGGCCCAGTCAATTCTGGTGACCTTTCAATAGTTTTCAAAGTCACGACCACACTTTGAAGATTGCACGTTAGCCTGCATGTTATGCTTGTCAGCGAGATATCTCAAGAACCATTCACTGGATTTTCTTCATGTTTGACACCCAGCTTCATATAGGTAGGACGCAGGGCCCAGACGATTTTGGTGACCTTCACGAAATTTTCAAGGTCACAGCAACACTTTGAAGATTTCAGCATGTTAGCCTGCATGTTAAGCTTGTCAGCGAGATACCTCAAAACCAATCACTTGATTTTCTTCATATTTGACACCAAGCTTCATCTAGGGAAGTTGCAGTCGAGTTTGGTGACCTTCACTTAATTTTCAAGGTCACAGCGACACTTTGAAGATTTCAGTATGTTAAGATTGTCAGCAAGATATCTCAAGAAGGGTTCACTGGATTTTCTTCATAGATTTTCAAGACTTCTCTTGAATGTTTTTTTATAAGCAATTTCTCTATTACTATTTTTTGCATATTTCATACAACATGACGTTCATGTCAAGGTCAAAGTGAATCTTGAAAATATTTGTGCGTTTGAACAACTACAGAGCAAGATATCAAGAGAGGTTGACTGGTCATGTTTTTGTTGACATTTAGCTTCATCTTAAAGGTGGTTTTGTCTCTTTCTCATTACAGAATATGAACAAGCGGGCCTCCCCACCATGCTGACAAGTCCTCAGCTTATTTGTAGAGACATCACAGATGGAGCTTTCACAAGTTCAGAGAAGACCATTGATGCATTCATCAGCTACCGTCGGTCTAACGGATCTCAACTAGCCAGGTAAAGAAGCCTTATTTTTCCTTATCCTGACTCATGTATTATTGCTTGTCTCCCTCTTCCTGCGAACGTTAGAGGAACACTTGTATCTCCTTTTTGAAGCTCCCTTAAAAAAAGCAGACGTAAAATCACTACTCACCACGAGTTGCCTCCCTCTCCGTTTTGGCGGGAAAACGGTGCCACCCGTCTTCCCACTCTTCACTCTTTCCTTCTTCGCCCTAGTGGACGGTTGGGAGAGCACCTGTGTCTCCAACACGGTACTATATCCTTTGCTCACTTAGTTATTACCCTATAAGTTACCTTTATAAGGTTTCAGGGAGTATCCATCTACAATATGGTTTGAAATTTATTAGCAAATTTGACTGTTTATTCACGGTTTCACGTGATTGTTCAGTTTGTTTACATTTCATGAAAACCTGTTTTCGTTGTAGGTTTAGGTTCTCTGCTGCAGACCCGCATTTATTGTGCCCTAGTTGCACAACAATATGTACTTCCAGCTCTCACTGTAAATTATGTCAGCAACTAACAAAAAATTGAATTTAATAATTATCATTTCTCTGTACACATGCTAAGGATAAATCCAGGCGGCTGTTACAAGTCATGGCTAAACCGGCTGAGTCCCTAAAGAGCTGTCTGTCGTCAGACGACATACTTCTATCCAGTGACCTGCCGGAGGCGTCTTCAGAAGATGGGAGGGGGATGAAGTCCGCCATTACGTCGAAGAAAAGATCTTCTACGTCGGACAACTCCTCAACCCATACGAAGAAGAAGAGGCCATCTTCGTCGCAGAAGAAGCCTTACACCCCTAAGGCTTCAACGAGATCTACTGGGAGCTCTTCACAGACTACAAGGACCTTCTCTGCCGAGATCGTCCCGATGGAAGAAATAGGCTTGAACGAAGAACCGCCTATCCTCATCCCTGAGATACTGCATAAGAAGAAGACGCAGGCCTCAGCAACGGTAACGTCAGCAACATTATCAACGCAGTCTGAGTTACCTTCTACACTGGCAGCAGGGACCCATGAGGTACAGCGATCCCTGGACCATATCGCTACGCTCTCAGATGCGTCATCTCTACAGTCATCGCAGACATTTAACCCCGGGACCTTCATGCAGCAATTCTCCCAACAGATGATGGACCTGATGGAGAAGCGCTCCGCGCAGGAAAGGACCTTGCATAATGGTCAGGCAGCCGCCTCTCATGCTCAAGTCATCAACCGACAAGGGACCAGTGCTGCACGAAGGACCCCGCACCGGTGGTGCATCTGAGATATCTACAAGAGGTTCTAGCTCTAGGACTAAGAGCAGACCTACCCTGCACGACGTCAACGAACCTGCGCGAAGGAAGGGACATTCATCCTACCAAAATAGATCGTCATCTGATGATGAAGCTAATAAAGAGCCTTTGCGCAGGCTACCTACATCACAGAGAGGCTTACACCTCCAAGAAGATACAGAGAGACGTCTCAGGACTCAGACCCTCAACAAAATCTCTCACCTGCGCGAAGGTCGTCAGATAGATCATCAAGAATGTCACCATCCCCATGCAGGTCGTCACGGGATTCACCACATAGGAATATATTGCCTTCGCGAAGGCAACCCTGGACACGTAGACGCTCACCTCCACGCAGGTCGCCATACAGATCTCCTCTTAGAACTACACATAGTTCTACGTACTCATCTCCACACAGATTGCCACGCAGATCTCCATGCAGGGAGGATACTCAACGATCATATCCAACTGGACATGATACAGAGGACGATGGCGGAATCATATTTTCGGACTCAGAAATAAAATATTGGATGGCTAATGGACTGGACCTAGCGTCACCCGCTAAAGAAGAGAATGAAGCATTCACGTACCTAATGAAGGACGATGATGTAGACACAATCACCCTACCTCCAATTGACCCGGTCTCAGACGTACCTGAGGACCTTGACGCAGCCTTCAGGAAGGCAACAAAGTTCCAGTCTCCAAATATCCAACAGTTCAGCGCAAAAAGCTGCAACACTCTCAGATGCGTCACTACAATTGCAGTCGTCGCAGACCTTCAACACGGGTATTTTTATGCAGCAAATGATTGACCTAATGGACGGTTCGCGCAAGCCTAAAGGACGAAGCTGCGGGAGGTAATCGGCATGAAGAAATGTGTGAAGGATCACGCACTTGACAGTCATGCTCTGCAGTTTCGACGATTAATATAGACGTCCTTGGACCATCCCACTTCACCCTCGGACCTTGATCTTCGTTGTAAGCCTATACGAAGGAACTCTTCAGCATGGAGGAAGAAATCTTCGCCTGCGCAAAGACAGAGGGACACGTGTTGAAGTTCAAGAGGGGTACTCTTGTCCGAATTCATCACCTGCGCAGATCTTCAGACTGAATCCAGGACGGGATTCACATCGTTGAGAATTTTTAGATAGATATATCTACATCAGAAGATAATAACGGTACTAACTGCACTCCTTGGTGCTAACAACCTACACCTTCTCAAAGGTTAGAGATGTATCTGAAGAATCCAGGAGGGACTCATGTCCATATAGAGATCTTCACTTGCGTACAGATCTTCAGGTATTCACATTGGCAGTGTAGGAAAGATGTAGAAAATCTAGCCTGTCCACAGGACTGGCAGGTCCAATTTTTTACCAGTCCTGCCAAAATCTGGCCTGTCCTCCAAATATGAATAGAACTCCTTCGGCAGTATATATTCAAAAAGGTTATAATCATTACATATATGTCATTGGTTTGCTAAAATTGACCCGACATGAGGACGGACTAGATATTTTTTTAACCCGTCCTCCACAAAATTCACCCGTCTCGGACGTTGGGACGGGCTATCTTTCCTACACTGACATTGGCGTGGTTCAGCACAGCGTTGCTAAGGCTATGAAGTTACAAAGTCAACATATTCCCAACGTCCAAGCTAGAGGGGTTAGAGACCTTCCCTGTCAGCATTGAAGACGGTTCATCAGGCGAATTGCAGCAACATACGTTTGACGGACTTTTGGTTACGGCAGCCAGTCTACCTTATATAGACTTCACAACGATGGCAGTCACAGAGTTGGACATTGCTTCGTTTCCCTTACGGACATGGCAAGGGTTTCACGATCGTTGGATCTAGATACAAGCCATTGTATCTCAAGTACTACTCTCTCCGTTATTACTACGAAGTTGGCAGAGCCTACTCAGTCCTCTCACGTCAGCACATGACTTGCAGAGGGAGACTACATCTATGCCACTCCAAATCTTAGTGAATGGCCATCGGGACGATCCGGACCCCCTTCGGACTTCCGGACGGACTAAAACCATATCTACTATGGTGGACTTTGAGATCGAATGGTTGCGGAGAGACCTACTTAGTAGAGCCGGAGTGCAACACTCATCTCTACGTAGATGTATCCCTTCAGGGATGGAGAGCGCACCTCGACAACGAAGTGTCAGCTGGGAAATGGACGTTACAGGAAGAAAATCTGCATATCAACATACTTCACTGGACCAGCATTCTAAGAAATACTTATCTGATGATCCATACGGACAAGGATCAACGAGGTTGGCGAACCTTCTGGACCTCTGCTTTCATCTGTTCAGCATATTGGACAATCTGAACATCTAAACATAAGCATGCCACATTCCAGGAGCAAAGAATGTGATAGCAGACGCCCTATCTCGTCCAACACAACCATCCCCAACAGAATGGATGCTACAACCAGAGGTCTTCAAACAAACCATACAATCGATAGGAGCTCCGCTCATAGACTTGTTCGCCACAAGATTCAACAATCAACTAGCAACATTCGTCTCTCCAATACCAGATCCACGAGCATGGGCAACAGATGCTCTAAGCATCTATTGGGAAGGACTAAACGCTTACGCATTCCCGCTCCAGCTCTTACACAGCAAGTGTTGCAGAAAATCAAGCAGACGAGGAACCTGCAATTGATTTTGCTTGCGCCTTATTGGCCAGCGAGAATGTGGTTTCCCATTCTCATTCAAGAACTAGGACCTCCTCAAATGCAACTACCAGAGTGGACGAACTTGCTAGTACATCTGCACACCAAGCAAGCACACAGGAACCTCACAGTGTTCCGCCTACACGCATGGACCGTATCAAGGCTTGCTTGAATAAGCGAGGATACTCCGCCAGGGTAGCGAAAGCGGTCACGCTAGCTTACGCAAATCAACCCGCAACTTGTAGGACGACAAGTGGCGAAGCTTTGAGACCTATGCTTTCAGGAAAGGCTTCACAGCCATGAAAGCAACACACCCTCAAGTGGCGGACTATCTTTGTCATCTAAGACAAGCAAAGCGGTTAAAAGGTTCAACACTCTCAACATACCTAGCGGCATTGAGCTCAGTTATCACCATGAGGACGAGTGTAAAACTGACTAAGGTACCAGAGAGACTGACCTTACTACGATCCTTCAAGTTGAAGGACCAACAACAGAGATTTAAAGCTTTGGCTTGGGACCTCAATATAGTTCTACAGCATCTCACCAGTGACGCTTATGAACCATTAGATAGGACATCTTATGAGTTCTTGACACAGAAAACTCTATTCCTGATTGCCTTAGCAACAGCAGCAAGGATGTCGGAAATACATGCTCTGGACTTTGAAAGAACACGTTTTGATGAGCATCGAAACATCGTACATATGGGTCTAAGATGGGACTTTGTAGCAAAGAATCAACTACCAGGTCAACCTGATAGACAATTCCACATCCCAGCATTATCATCAGTCCTTGGGCCTCAGGATACACAGGACCTATCCTTGTGCCCAGTAAGAGCATTAAAAATGTACCTACAAAGGTCTACGACCAGGAGACGAAAATTCAAGCGTCTTTTCATCCCTATATTGGCAGAGACACAGACAGAGATCTCTCGCACTATGATATCAATATGGATGAGAACTGTCATTCTAAGGGCCTACAAAGCAGCAGGACTTGATCCTCCACGAGCCTCCAATCCACATGAAATTAGAGCTCTGACGTCAACACTCGCTCTA